ATGGAGAGTAAATGAGTGTTGGGCCCGGTATTCCCCTTAATTGGGTCAACAAGGAAACAAATAAAACCAAGCCAATTTTGGCTTTGGTTTTAGGAAACAAAACCTACTCCAATTGGGTTTTTGTTTTTAGGTTTTTTTGCTCTATAAAAGCAAGGCTTTGGCATAATTTTTAGGGGGTGTATTTTTCAGCCAAGAGAGAAGAAAAATTTGGGCAGCCGTGCATTGTTTTTGTACGAGAGAAAAAGAAAGAAAGCTAGGGTTTAGTTTTCGGTTTAGCTCTCTTTTGGTTAGATCCTTCCAGTCCTACTTTGTGATAGGTGTGTGTGGAAGAGTATTGTTGTAATCCACCTTTGGGTGAAGTCCTGTGTATCCACCAGTCGGTGAAGACTGTTTTCCCATTATTGTGATAGTGGAGATTTGACTGTTGTTACAGTCCCGTGGTTTTTCCCGATTTGGGTTTCCACTTAAATTTGCGTGCCTCCTTTATTTTATCAGTTCTTGAGTTAGTTGGCTTGTATGGGTGGTTGTCCTATTTTATTGGTAGTAGGAAAGGAGTTTTTCTTGGGGCTCGCTTCCGCAGTGTGTTGTGCTTATACCCTTTCCGCCACAACAATGAGTAATAAATTGATTACTTCTAAGAAATGGAAGTGGAACAAAACTCGTCCTACTCCTACGTTTTGTTGTTTGTTAGATGTGGTCCTTATTAATTCTAAATCCCGCTCCTTGGACTATACAGAATTATTCACAAGTTTTGTGACTTTGTTTTCTATTTTTTCTCAAATTCAAAATCCCTCGGCAATTCCTCCCTCTTGTGATTTATGGGGAAGGAAATACCCTTATTAAGACACAAGCATTCCCCCCTCCCCGTCCCCCAGACGACTGAAGTCTAATAATTGTTAGTTTGATTAACCGGTTTCGCCACTTACAGATACATCGCATCTCATTTATAAGATGGGGTTCTAATTTGTATATAAGTGGAAATTGAGCAAATTCACATCAAGTCGTCCTATATTAATTACTTCCAAATTATTTTGGTAGAGTAAATGTGTATGAAGTTCATGAATCTCACACGATGGCAGCCTTTGAAAGTCCACTTTTTCAGATGTCCATCTCGACTCTTGAGACTAGAACAAAAAAAAGGAAACACTTGCTAATTCAGGTTATATGAAAACGTCAATAGTATTGATTGAAAAAGTACTCACATCAAAACGTGGTGTCACTTTTCTACATGGCCAAACTGACCTACGCTAAAGTAGTAATCACATCAGTTGTAGTTATGTCGTTGGTGCAATAGTAACAAAATTGTAGCATTGTGGTAATGTGGTCATTTTGTGGCTCAATTTGGCCAACTTGTCACACTGACCCCCCGGCGTTGTTAAGTATGACTATAATTAGCCCCGGTTGGAATATTTTATTGCTGTGGAGAATTATTGGAACGTATCAGTGTGGCGTCATCTTATGACGTAGGCTGCATCCAATCAAAATTCGTGAATGAAGGTTTTCAATGCAGCAGGGGTCAAATCATGATGATTAGAGAGCCCTGGTTTATTAATTGTGATAAGATAACGTTTGGCCATAGTTTTGTTTTATTATTTTGTTTTAAGCTCTTGACTTCGTGCATCTTCTTCTACTTATTAATCCTTTTCTTTAGTTAATTACGTGATTCAGCAGATTCACGTGATTGGTCCAACTGCCAAAAATAATGATGAAATAGTTATAACATCAATCAATCAATCAAAGATCAAAATGACCCTAATTCCCTAAACACGTCAAAATTCAAAAGGGATTTCTTTCTTTCTTTTTTTTTTTGGCCTGGTTAAGAAAACCCTGAAATCTTCAGCTTCAGTCAGTACATACATATTAAGCTAGCCACATCTTTTTCATCCAATGAACTTATGAATGTTTGGGCTACATAGAGAAAAATTATATGCCTCGATCTACACTAAACTCTCTTTGCCATCATATTGCACTCTCTTCATGTATACACAAACTACATTTTTCCCATCCAAAACTCAAAAGTTGCTGGATTCTTCTCAGCCGAGAGCCCGCATGGAATTTGTCTAAAATAAAAAATGACATACTTCTAAATATATCTATAAAATGTGTAAAAAAAAACATTTTGCTAGAAATAGTCTGATAGCAAGTGAAAGAGAAGTTCGGCAAAATTTACTATTAATGGAATATCATAGCAATGCACAATAGAAACTAATTAAGTGTTATGTTCGAGATTGTTGGTAGTTCATATGCAGTTGCTCAAAAGGACTGGAAAATTCTACCATTATCCGGAATATTATTGTTTCTTTTTTCTGAAATGTTTGTGATGATTTTATATGGTCGCGAAAGCTTTTCTAATCATTTTTGAGAAACAATTTTAGTATTCGAGTTGGGCTGTAAAAGTTGAGCCCAAGACTATGAAACTTACAAAAAAACGTACATGTCCACTTTACCCACTGAAAATGAACATAAGCTTTATCATCTAAGTTTGACTTAGAACTCATGCTTGTCGGCCAGTTGGACTTAGAGCTCATGTTTGTTGGGCTTAAGAAAAAGCGATCTTTAGGGCCTAAATCTTAAACGAAATAGACTCCAGAACATGAAACAGTAAAATCATCATTTGAATATTTATAATTTATTACCGTGGTCCTTTTTATCGGTGGGGGTAGATAATGTGGTCCTTTTTTCTATTTCTTCTTCTTCTAGGATGTTGTTTTTCGGGACCAAGTAAATTGTGGTCCTTTTATTATATATATATATATATATGTGTTAAAATTGTTTCATAATCCACGAAGAGGATGGGCATAATTGACCTTTTTTCTGGTCCATGCCTTCATTATTGTTGTTAATTAACTCATAACTTGTCAATCAGGCTAAAAATTATCTTGTAATGTACTTTTAATCTTCAAAGAAAGTACCAGTTTTCTCTTTTCTGTTCTCATTTTACTGTAGAAGGATAGGGAAGATGGGAAATGATTTTTATCTGTTATTTCCCCACTGTACGAGGTGTGAGTTACTTTTTTGCCAATAAGTTGAATGTAAGAATACATTAGTCCTTTATATGTTTAGCAATTAGTTAACAAAGATTTAGATTTGGTTTTTGTCTAGTGTGTTTAGGCGTGTATAATATAGGAAGAACACATTTGGATTGCATCCTTAATTTGATTGATGCGAGAGAGATTTGGGAATCATTAATTCAACGCATTAGGAATTAATTATACGTATATGTGTGAATCTTCATCATCAGACAAAAGGCCAAGTGCCAAAGAGAGGACCACAGGGACTAATAATTCAGGCATTCGTACATATGAAGATCCATTTCAATAGTTGATTATCAGATTTTATGACGCATGGATTTTTAGAGTTTTCTTTCAAATTTCTTTTCCCTATAAATACTTATATCCCTTTTCCATGATTATGAAACAATTGACAATTAGGACCACTGGCAAATTAAAACACCCATAAGGCCTTAGGAGGTGGGATATGAGAACGGATGTCTCAGATGTGCCCTCTTGTACTGTATCTAATAAGCTATTCTGTCTGTAATTGCCACTGGGAATTTGGGTGGATTTCCTTGAAACTTGCATCTGCATTACATACTCAAGATTTATTTGAATATCTCTGTAATGCACTCGCTATCCGAAATTAATTAAATCAGTTTAATAAAATTGTTTATGATACTAATAATTATATGTCACTCTCTCTTTCCTACAATACTAGGACAAGCTTTCTAAAAAAAAAAAATCTGTAATTTACGGGATGCGTATCGTCGATTGAGATAATTAGTAGTAGTTTTATATATTATCCACCATCTGTAGTTTAATTTCTGCAATCTAAGACATCCGTCAAAATTGTATTTTATAATGGAAATCGATTCGGCTCAAACTAATTTCAAGTGACTGCGTGATATTCTCAAAGTGCGTAAACCAAACGCTGAAATTGGCCTAAACAGGATGATGCCTTTGAATTGGTACTCAACCGAATAATGAGAAATTCTAAGAAATGGATAAAACGGCTTGCAAGATCCTGTTTTATTGATTGAATGAAAACGAATCGGCTTTGAATAGCCTGAATCGCCGGAATGATTACAACGTTTAAAGTTTAAACATAAACGAATACATAAAAGCTTAAAATTGCAAAGAACAAAACTATAAAGGAAAATATGATTTCTGATTCTTGGATAATGAGTTGTGTCATTCCCGGTGCCTCCTTCATAGCTTTTTATACTGATTCCGCCAACCCTAGCTAGGTTGCAACAGAAGTCGAATTCCGCAAGAATTCCTGTTGCAACTGGAATCCTTCTTCGATATGGACTGCAGTGTTATTGACTCTTTTTTCGGAGTTGGCTTCCTTGCTCTCTGTTGCATCCACGAATTTTAACCAAGGCGGGCTTCAAATCGATTTTTCTTCCATTAAAGTACTGCGATCGGCCCATTCTCATGTGGACCAAATTTGTCAAAAATCGGTCCAACACTAACACAAGTTAAGTCTTAGTAATTAATCTCTCTGTTCCGTAATTATTGTCCAGTTTGAGTTTTCATTTCTAGTTCAAATTATACTAATAATGAAATCTCAAACTGGACAATAATTTTAGAACAGAGGGAATAATAAAATGTTACATTGTCAGATTTTTTATATGTCAGACAATTTAATAATGTTATATTTCATGTCTCTAAAAATTAGACTCTTATTTATTAGATCAAATTAAATTTAAATCGTACAACAAACATGATTCTTTGTGTTTGGGACGAAATAATACACAATCACCATACAATCACTCAGAGAAGTATACCAGGGAACACAAATTAAAGCGACTCTCTTCTTTTATTTTTATTTTCTTTTCCTTTTACTAAATTACTATTCTCGAAACATCAAAGAAATAGCCTTTGACTAATGAGGAGGAATAAATGGAATAAATGGCGTCATTCTCAGGGTCTTTCCCATGCAGTTACAATCGCCATACTGTTTGTAGAAAACGAAATCCCTCTTTTTTTGCTTGCGTTAAAGCCAACCTTTAAAAAAAATAAAAAATAAAAATTCAGACAAGCATTTTTCGTCTGTGTCTATATCTACATGCATGCCTGAGAGACAAAGGAAACCCAAGAACTCAGTTAATCTGAAGAGATCCAAAAAAAAAAAAAAAAACTAAACTAGTTTAAGAAATGGAAGTTCTCATGTCCAACTGGAAAGATGTTCAATCCATTCCTCCAAACTATATTTTCCCTCCAGACAGAAGACCAGGAAAGATTAGTTTCCCCAACTGCAAAGATATCCCGATTATCGACCTCCGAAAAATAGATGGCCATGATGATCGATCTGAAACAATCCAGCAGATTATCAAAGCATGCAGACACTTCGGATTCTTTCAGGTAAGTTTAAGTTCGATTTAAGTTTGAACCCATCTCACTCCCCCTATGTGTTCATTAATTTGGTCATGATGTTTGTATATACTGCAGGTTATTCACCATGGGATTTCTGAGAGCTTAATGGAAGAAGCAATGAGTGTGATCAGGGAGTTCTTCCAAATGCCAGGTGAATACAAGTCAACTTATTACTCAACCGATATGAACAAAAGATGCAGACTCTTTTCTAGTACTACAGTCTATGAGAAAGAGCCATTTCATTTCTGGAGGGATAATCTCACACATCATTGTCATCCCTTGGAGGAAAATATTCAATCTTGGCCTGAAAAGCCACTCAGATACCGGTAAACCCCAACTTCTTGTTTAAATGTTCTCGTTATCCGTCCCAAAAAAATAGTCATAACGATGTTGTTGTCTATTAACATCATTGGTATAATTAATGTGATGAGTATCTCTTTCAGAGTTGTTGTGAGTGACTATTCAATTGAAGTTCGGAGGTTTCTGTTGATGATTCTGGGCCTGATTTGTGAAGGGCTTGGACTGAGGCCTGGTTATTTTGAAGGGGAACTAACAAAGACTCAGTTGTTTTCCGTGAATTATCACATTCCATGCCCTGATCCAAGCCTGACACTGGGAATGCCGGAGCACTTTGATCCTAATATCATCACCATGGTTCATCAACTGGCTATCCCTGGACTTCAGATCTTCAAAGATGGTGAATGGCTCGGTGTCAAGACTTTGCCTAATGCAGTTTTCGTCATTCCAGGTCTTCAATTGAAGGTAAATCCCTCTGGACAAAAATTATAAGACGGAGGGAGTATTATTTATGTCTAAGCATTAGTACTTTGGTCGATCCGATCCTAATATGTAACGGTAAACTGTTCTGTTTCTAAAAACACGACTCTTACAATGGAACGTTGAAAACATTTATAGGTAATCAGCAATGATTTGTTCAAGAGTCCTTTACATAGAGTGATACCACATGCGACGGAGACTCGAACAACCATATCCTCCTTCCTCGTTCCGTCTACGGATGTGCTGATTGAACCTGCCGAAGTAGCATTAGGAAATCCTCCGGTTTACAAAGCTTTCACATACAAAGAATTCTTCGCTGCCAATAGTGGGAAAGGTTGGGGAGTTGTACTGGAGAGTTTCAGGCAACAAATACCAGAGTGACTCTTAAGTCATCTGTGACCTTTTTTTTTGTTGGTCGGGAGAACCATGTGATGAAGAAATTAAAAATGCCCAAAAATTATGTCAAAACCAAAAAGTGTATGAATTTGTGATCATGCGTACAAAGGGTTTGTGTTGTTCAGTTTTGTTGCAAAAGGCTTGTTATTAAGTTTGTGGTTGTTCTTAATCGGTTTTCAAGCTTTCGGCCAAAAATATAATCTCAGTTTCAAATTTACAATGCTATAATAAACTATGTAGAAATAAATCTTCCCTATTTGTTTAGTATAAAACATGGGTCAACATGGTCAAACCCTTCGATAGATGTCAATATATGCCCCACATAAAAAACACAATAGTGTTTGCTTTCTAGGCCCTTGGAGTTTCATGAAACATCCTGGAATATCAATTACGGAGTAGTATTGAACTTTTATAAATTTCGACACCATGGGATATTGGGATTATTAATATTAACATATTTCCCTCCAATAATTATAGCATGATCATTGATTTCTGATTAAAAAAAATTTCAACCCCCATTACTACAATTGACCATAATGGTTAAAATAAATAAATTAGTCAATACTAAAACGGAATTTAGAGGTTGTATTATAAATGAAAATACTCGAGATCTAGCATTTACTAATATGGAGCTAGCAGAGCAATATTATAGTGTTAAGAATTTCAAGGAGGCATTACCCTGTGGTTTGAAGGCATTTGATATGCATGTACAATTGGGTTCAAATCCGCATATGTTGGCGATTGTTCAGACGGTTCTAGGTCTGATATATTCTGGATTGGGGAAGCATGCAAAGGCATCTGAGCAACATGAACTTGCTGTGAAGTTCTTACGTTGGGATGGTAGTTATGATTCCCTTGCCGCTAAAGTTGATGTAGCCAAAGAGCTAATTGACGGGGGAAGACGTGTTGAGGCCATGGCTGTTTTGCACGTTTCTGTAAATAGTGCACATCTTATGAACCGTCCCGAAGCTGAAAATGATCTTGAGTTGCAGAAGAAATTTGAGGAAGCTTGCGAGCTCTGGAGGAGTTGCAAGGTAAGATAAAGTTTGGGGCGCTCGACGTGGTAAACAGGGCTCACTTGATTGACTTACCTTTTTGTTGACAAATTGCAGTTGCCGTTTTTTAATTTGAGAAGAAAATATTAGTTGACTTTTGTGTAGGTCAGTAGAGATAATCAATTAAATCTGGGGAGACTTATCTAAGTTGTTCATATGAATTCTATTCTAACTTCCAAGTAGCTTTGTAGCAGAAATGCTTTCTGTTTGTAGCTATATATTATCTTAATTACACTATCATTAGGATGATAGTCCTGTTTCTTATTAAAACTCTGATGATGAAATTAAAGGGTCAAATATGTCAAACAAAGTGTATGCATTTGGTAGTCCTGTTTGTGTTGTAACTTGTAAATTAATTTGTTCTTACATCGCTTTTCAGGCTTTCAGCCAAAAAATAATCTAATGCTATAAAATATACTCCCTGTATTTGTTTTCTACATGGGTCAACATGGTCAAACCCTTCAATCATTTTTTTTAATGGTAAAGGAACTAAAACGGAAATAAGAGGTTGTATTACAAATGATGGTTTTACTCTCAACAAAATATCTCTATTTCAGTTTATGGGTCCACCGTCCACTTAATAATTTTTAGATGCTTTCGAAGGATTATTAAAGAAACTGAAATTTTACCATTTAACTTGTTGTATATGAATGTCTAATCTTCGTCATAAATAAATGTACAGCATTAGAGAGAGCAATGTTTATTTTATTTTTTACTAATCTATATAATCTTTACCAATTTCATTTACATACTGCCGAAATTACATATTTAATTACTCACTCCCGTCTCAATATAAATCATTTTGATCTGTCATAAATTTCACCTAAAATACATTTTTAATTGATAAAAAAATTTTAAAAATATATTTTCGCATTCGGATTGTTATCTTGATTATTTGGAAGGTATTTTAGAATTTCTTTTATTAACTAAAAATAGGTATTATATAAAATTAGAACAAATCAAAACCACTTATATTGTCGAAAATTCGAAGCTTTATCCGAGTATAGTTTTTACTTCCTCCCAGATCAAAGGCCTCCAAACCCAAATTAACAAGCGGTGACCACTCTGCTCATCCGGTATCTCCGATTCAAAGATTACTTCTGATGATGCTCATGATTTCCAGAGGTTAGTGTGCTTCTTATCTAATGGTGCATGATGGAAAAAAAAAAAACACACAACAATCAATCTTGATGGCATTAGAGGGGGTTAACGTATGTTTCTTTTTTCACTCTAAATAAGTTTAAAGTAAAATTTCTGCATCCAATTAAATTATTTACCCGATTAAACTTAAATCAATTGTTTCATCATTACGTCAAATTTAAAGTGCATATTATCCGTCTAATTCAAAACAAATCCAAATAGATTGGTAGATGACATTATTCAATTGCTTGGATTAAACTGTCAGTTAAGTTATACAAAAAATTTGTTTAATCTTGACGATTAGAGAGCCCTGGTTTATTAATTGTGATAAGATAACGTTTGGCCATAGTTTTTTTTTTTTTTTAAGCTCTTGACTTCATGCATCTTCTTCTACTTATTAATTCTTTTCTTTAGTTAATTACGTGATTCAGCAGATTCACGTGATTGGTCCAACTGCCAAAAATAATGATGAAATAGTTATAACATCAATCAATCAATCAAAGATCGAAATGACCCTAATTCCCTAAACACGTCAAAATTCAAAAGGGATTTCTTTCTTTCTTTTTTTTTTTTCTATTTTTTTTGCTTGGTTAAGAAAACGCTGAAATCTTCAGCTTCAGTCAGTTGTACATATTAAGGGTATGTTTGTTTCGTTTTTTTAGTGTCTATTTGTAGGTGTTTTTTGTATTAGAAATGTAAAAAAGTATATTGAAAATGTAAAAAAATATACTAGGATGAGACAGTTAATAATATAATAATTTAAAAAAACTATTTGAAAATTGAAACAAACAAAGCCTAAGTTAGCCACATCTTTTTCATGCAATGAACTTATGAATGTTTGGGCTACATAGAGAAAAACATATGCCTCGATCTACACTAAACTCTCTTTGCCAACATATTGCACTCTCTTCATGTATACACAAACTACATTTTTCCCATCCAAAACTCAAAAGTTGCTGGATTCTTCTCAGCCGAGAGCCCGCATGGAATTTGTCTAAAATAAAAAATGACATACTTCCAAATATATCTATAAAATGTGTAAAAAAAAAAACACATTTTGCTATGAATAGTCTGATAGCAAGTGAAAGAGAAGTTCGGCAAAATTTACTATTAATGGAATATCATAGCAATGCACAATAGAAACTAATTAAGTGTTATGTTCGAGATTGTTGGTAGTTCATATGCAGTTGCTCAAAAGGACTGGAAAATTCTGGTCTTGTTTGTACGTCTACTCATTTTATATTTTAACTCATTTTACCTCTTAAACACAAAACCCAATGAAAAAGAAAATATCATCCAAACAACTTTCTGATTTACATTTTAAATTCCAATTTGAAACACTTTTTGTTAGTGTAATGACCATTTTAGAACTACAAATAGTTCAGTGACAAATTTAGCAGGATTGCGTTATTGAGTGATTGTTTTTGGAAAAGTTCTTTTTTGCAGTGACTATAATTGACAGTATTTAATTGTTCAACAATGACTCGTACTTGATATTTTCAAAATGTAGTTCAAAATATTTTTTTCAAACCAACATCCAAACAACTTTTTGCTCAAAATACCATCCAAACAACATTTTCATTTCTCATTTAGTTTTTTAACTTGAAACACTTTCTATTTTTAAGTGGCAAAATGAAATATAAGATGACGTCCAAACAAGCACAAAGTGATGATTGTGAAATGTTTGTGATGATTTTATATGGTCACGAAAGTTTTTGTAATCATTTTTGAGAAACAATTTCAATATTAGAGTTGGGCTGTAAAAGTTGAGCCCAAGACTATGAAACTTACAAAAAAACTTACATGTCCACTTTACCCACTGAAAATGAACATAAGCTATATAATCTAAGTTTGACTTAGAACTCATGCTTGTCGGCCAGTTGGACTTAGAGGTCATATTTGTTGGGCTTAAGAAAAAGCGATCTTTAGGGCCTAAATCTTAAACGAAATAGACTCCAGAACATGAAACAGTAAAATCATCCTTGAATATTTATAATTTATTACCGTGGTCCTTTTTATTGGTGGGGGTAGATAATGTGGTCCTTTTTTCTATTTCTTCTTCTTCTTCTATGATATTGTTTTTCGGGACCAAGTAAATTGTAATCCTTTTATTATACTGTTTATGTATCCCAAAATTATTGTTCAGTTTGAGATTTCACTTTTAGTACAATTTGAACTAGAAATAAAAATTCAAACTGGACAATAATTGTGGGACGGAGGGAGTATATATTTATATGTTAAAATTGTTTCATAATCCACGAAGAGGATGGGTATAATTTTTTTTTAGGGAAAAAAAATAAATTGAAGTCGACCTTTTTTTTTCTGGTCCATGCCTTCATTATTGTCCTTGATTAACTCATAACTAGTCAATCAGGCTAAAAATTATCTTGTACTACTAATATACTTTTAATCTTCAAAGAATTTTCCACGTTCTTGTTCTCATTTTACTGTAGAAGATAGGGAAGGTGGGAAATGGTTTTTTATCTGTTATTTTTCCACTGTACGAGGTGTGAGTTACTTTTTTTTTTTTTTTTGCCAATAATAAGTTGAATGTAAGAATACATTAGTCCTTGATTATTATTAACAATATATACGTCCGACATCAATAATCTACATTTTATCTGGAGGTTCGGCCAATGGGAGCTGTACTGCTAATATGTTTAGCAAATTTAATTAGCTAACTAAGATTTAGATTTGGTTTTAAATTTTTAATAAAGGTGTGTAATATAGGAAGAACACATTTGCATTGCACCCTTAATTTGATGCGAGAGAGATTTGGGATTGGGAATCATTAATTCAACGCAACAAGAATTAATTGATTATATATACACATCTCCATCATCAGACAAAAGGCCAAGTGCCAAAGAGAGGACCACGGGACTAATAATTCAGGCATTCGTACATATAAAGATCTATTTTAATAGTTGATTACGCATGGATTTTTAGATTATCAGATTTTATCAGATTTTATGACGCATGGATTTTTAGAGTTTTCTTTGAAATATTTTCCTATAAATACTTATATTCCTTTTCCATGATTATGAAATAATTGACAATTAGGACCACTGGAAAATTTATTAAACACCCATAAGCCTTAGCTTCAACAGCAATAGAGTTAAATCCGGAATATTAATATCATCAATTTAAAACTCAAATTGCTCACGCATAATTATCCATGAACCCTCAAATTAGGATTCAATTGTTCACTTTGTTTATAAATCCACAATTCGATTTTCAAATCAAGAAAAAAATCTCATTGATCAAAATCTATCATATATGCCATATTTTCGAAAACCAATTTTCAATTTGTTCTCCCCGCAGATGAAAAAATGGGCATCGACAATCGGTTCCATGAAGGTGCTTAGGTCTTGAACCCATATTCAAATTTAGATTAATAAGGTTCCAATAATTCTTTCTCTCAATATGCAGATATTGATAAAACTCTCACCGGACAAGGAGTTGAGATCGGTGAAACCATCAATTTGATCGATGAAGTATGATTATTGTCTCTCTCAAAGGGCAACGCTGAAAGGAGAGATATGTCGCTGGCTTAAGCTGATTGGAAACTGTAGTTCATCAACCAAAGTATTCATTGATCCATCCCTTAGGTAACACGGCTTACTTAATTTATTATAATTATTTTTTTTCTTATTTGAATTTGTAGGGGTGAAGTGAACAAAGATGCATGTGATTAAAGATGAACGATGGCACTCCCGAGTTTGTTGAAAGCTTGGTTGCCGAGGATCTTAAGGTTACAAAAGCCGAGAAGGTATGGGTCACCTAATGGCCCTGTGGTTTTGGAAGCCTTAATTGTTGATTCTTAAAAACTTTATGATTTATATGTTTTGGAAGCATTAATAGCTTTGTGCTCATCCATGACTCTTTTCTTAATTTTTTTATTTTTATTTTTTACTTATTTCAAGTCCTTTGTTCATGAATTCGTTTTCAGCCTGACATTTTATTAGGTGGTTTTGGTCTTGGTTTTCTTCTTGAATTGATCAAAACTTTTGTTGCCGTATTTTTTTCCAATAGTAGATGTCTTCTTTATTTTTATTTTTCAGAAGTTCAGTTTCTTTTCACATAAAAATATAGTGTTTCATGGTGGTTTGCTTAGGTTTTAATACTGTGAGTGCATATTGTTTGATATATCCGATCTTAATTAGAGTCGATAATTTAGCAGCAACGTTCAATTTATCTTACAAAAAAGATTATAGGTAACAAGTAAAGCAACATGTTTTCCTAATTATTAGGTATTTGTTGTTCTTGGGATAGACTCATTTGATTTCAAGAATGAAACATGATGAGTAAGTTTCACTCTCTTTGTATTTAGGTGTTTTTATTGTTTCATATGTATTAGTATTCTGATACTTGCAAAATCACATGCTAATACTTGGGGGCTAGGAGTGGTTGCATTTGGACCAAGAGTTTCGAGAGTAACTATTCTGACTTTCCATTTTAGTTTGACATTTTATAAGTGCTCTTTTGTCGATTATAAAAGCTACATAACATATTGAATTTAATTTTGAAGTCATAAATTTAGAGGAAAGTATTTTGTGAAATGTTTTTAATCTGAGTTTATAACAGAACTCCTCATATGCAAAGTTTTGTTATTTTTCTGGGAGTTGTTAGGATCAGACGAGGCCTTCACATCTAACTGGCATTTTAGCATGGATAAAACAATACATAATTTCTTCTTGCCTTTTAATCTGTACAACTGGTGGTTGAAACTGATTTGTTTCTTTTTTTGTTGCTTAGGTTAGGTTCTATACATTAGCGGTCGTAACCTTTGGAACTGCAGTCCCTGCTGGACAATTTGATCCTGGCATAATGACTGGGTCATCCTATGAGATTTTAGTTAAGATGTTTGTTGTAAATTTCTATGAGAAGCTGAATATTGATGAGGGAATGTGAGTCTTCTTTTGCTTTTCGTTTCTGATACAACTGTTCGTTCCAACTCTATTGTTATAACATTTGCATATTCTTATACAAATGGTTGTGCTTCATGCTGCTGATGGATCTCTATGAAATATGACGATTATGTATATTTTTACTAGAATTGCCATGACGCTGTAGAGCTTTTAGAATGAAAATATACTGGAATATTGTACCTCATATGAAGATCGAGTGTGGGGTTTTGTGATTTTTGGCTCTTTCCTTCTACTCGCCCCTGATAAGCTATTGAAATGGGAAAATAATTTAGATTTTCTTCAAATAATTTCATGCTTTCTTCTATGCCATTTGCATCAGTAAAATCTTTTCCTCCATGTTATCCCTAATTGAAGTCATTCCTTCATTTACTGATTGATATTATTAGAAAAGTGGAGCTCAACAAAGGTTAATTTAAAATTGTATGCTAAGTAGTCTAGCATGTATTCATGGAAATGTTGTTAGGAGAATGCATTAGATGTAAAATTTCTTGATGTTTGTAATAATTAGAATAATTTTCATCTTTTTTACGTTGTGAAGTTTTGGTTAAGATTAGATTAAAATCTAAATAATCAACACCATCGTGAAATGAAACTACTTTAAGACTATGGGTATTAGAAGGAATTACAGGTTGAATGCGATAACTTTTAAAAGCCAATGGATATATTTCTAGATAATGGTTTTGGTTATTAGTGCTCATGTTAATGTAAGCCCTCTGTTGGCATATGTTGATACAGGTGCTCATTCGACTATTCTCGCTGTTCGAGCCACAGTAATTTAAGCCTCGACGATATACTATGACATCCCTCTTACTTCAGGTTAGTGTGATTTTGAATTTTAGGGGGTATTATATGTGACAATGAAAGGTGTATAATTGAAAACTGGGTTCTTTATGACAGCCTCTTTGTTCAATTAGTGAAAATTACAAACAACAACAATTAGTAAGAATTATGTTTAGTAAAATATAAAAGAGGAGGTTCTTTGAGATTGATACTTCTGTACATGATGATTTTATTTATTTGATATTTTCTTGGTTAAGATGTCAGAGAATTAGTCAGTTTATATTTGAACAATAAATTAATTTCATATTGTGTTTGATTTTAGGTAAGTGGTTTTCTAGGAGTGTAGCAGTTGCTCTTATTGGATGGAACTTGGGAGTATACTTGCTGATATTCCTAGCAAGTCAAAATGACTAAAGATGATACTTTAATATTTATGCAGGAGTCATGGAATTTTAAACTGCAAGCCTAATGCAATTGAGAACCGTAATGTTCGCGTCTGTGATTCAGGCAACTAAGCATCTTATATCTGACTCGCTACAATCCATGTTTTTCATTTATTGGAGAAGTTTTTCTTTGAAAAAAACAAGTATTATCGAATTTGCAGTGATGTTCCTCATTCTCGGCAGAATTTACGTGTCTGATTGGCAGTGGAGTCAACAAATCTGTCATTCCAAACAAGAAGATTAAAGAACTTCTTACGGCCTATAGTGAATGCCTATGATCACGATGGTCATCATATTAGTATTGATGTTTGTATGTACTCGGGTAGCGAATGGTTTACAAAACCATATGAGAAGAATTTTAAAACATTGTGCATTAAGTGACAAACGCAGGACTTGTACGAAATGATTCATGATTTCAGTATTTAATCTTTTGTAATATTCCCTCTGTCCCAAAATTATTGTCCAGTTTGAGATTTCACTTTTAGTACAATTTGAACTAAAAATGAAAATTGAACTGGACAATAATTATGGGACGGAGGGAGTAAAAAACTAACAATTATGAAAATTCAATCATATTTCCTTTTTCTTAAAAGTCAATTGAAGTTCATATTTAGCAAAAAGATTTGAATACTATTAATCATTTCTTTCACTTTAATAATTAATAATTTAGCAACCATTCTTTTATATTCTTATTTATTTGTCGAAGGCAAAAATAAGCCATTCTACATTTTTATACATATTATTATAATATGGGGTTGTCCGGGCATTCGCCCGGGCCAAACATTTAATACTAGTTAAGTCTTAGTAATTATTACGTTGTTAGATTTTTGATACGCCAAACAATCAGTAATAATGTTACATTTTATGTCGTTAACGATTAGAATCTTATTTATTAGATTAAATTTAAGCTGTACAACGAACATGATTTTTTTTTTTTTTTTTGTGCGGACGAAAGAATACACCATGGTACAATCAGTCGAGAAGTATACCAGGGAACACAAATTAAAGCGACTCTCTTCTTTTAATTTTTATTATTTTTTGTCCCTTTAACTAAATTATTATTCTCGAAACATCAAAGAAATGGCCTTTGACTAATGAGGAGGAATAAATGGAATAAATGGCGTCATTCTCAGGGCCCATGCAGTTGCAATCCCCATACTGTTTGTAGAAAACGAAATCTATCTTTTTTTACTTGCATTATTAATGCCGTCCATTTTTTTTTAATTCAGACACGCATTTTTCGTCTGTGTCTATACATAGATGCATGCCTGAGACACAAAGGGAACCCAAAGAACTGAGTTAATCTAAAGAGATCAAACAAAAAAACTAGTCAAGGAATATGGAAGTTCTCATGTCCAACTGGAAAGATGTTCAATCCATTCCTCCAAACTATATTTTCCCTCCAGACACAAGACCAGGAAAGATTAGTTTCCCGAACTGCGAAGATATCCCGGTTATCGACCTCCGAAAAATCGATGGCCATGATGATCGATCTGAAACAATCCAGCAGATTATCAAAGCATGCAGACACTTCGGATTCTTTCAGGTAAGTTTAAGTTCGATTTAAGTTTGAACCCATCTCACTCCCCCTATGTGTTCATTAATTTGGTCATGATGTTTGTATATACTGCAGGTTATTCACCATGGGATTTCTGAGAGCTTAATGGAAGAGGCAATGAGTGTGATCAGGGAGTTCTTCCAAATGCCAGGTGAATATAAGTCAAGTTATTACTCAACTGATATGAACAAAAGATGCAGACTCTATTCTAGTTCTATACTCTATGAAAAAGAGCCATTTCATTTCTGGAGGGATAATCTCACACATCATTGTCATCCCTTGGAGGAAAATATTCAATCTTGGCCTGAAAAGCCACTCAGATACCGGTAAACCACCTTCCGTCCTATAAAAATAGTCCTACGTTGTTTCTTTCTGATATTATATTAATTAATAACATTGGTATAATTATAATGTCATGTATCTTCAGAGATGTTGTGAGTGACTATTCAATTGAAGTCCGGAGGTTTCTGTTGACGATTCTGGGCCTGATTTGTGAAGGGCTTGGGCTGAGGCCTGGTTATTTTGAAGGTGAACTAACAAAGACTCAGTTGGTTTCTGTGAATTATCACATTCCATGCCCTGATCCAAGCCTGACACTCGGAGTGCCGGAGCACATGGATCCTAACATCATCGGCATGGTTCATCAACTGGCTGTTCCTGGACTTCAGATCTTCAAAGATGGTGAATGGTTTGGTGTCAAGACTTTGCCTAATGCATTTTTCGTCATTCCAGGTCTTCAATTGAAGGTAAATGTATACTCTCTACGGCCAATAATTATGGAACGGAGGGAGGGAGGGAGTATTATTAATTCATCTCTGAGCATTAGTATTTTATCGATCCTAATATGTAATGGTAAACGGTTCTGTTTTTAAAAACACGACACTTATAATGGAACGTTGGAAAACATTTATAGGCAATCAGCAATGATTTGTTCAAGAGTCCTTTACATAGAGTGATAACACATGCAACGGAGACTCGAACAACCATATGTTCTTTCCTGGTTCCGTCTACGGATGTGCTGATTGAACCTGCAGCAGAAGCTTCTGGAAATCCACCGGTTTACAAAGCTTTCACATACAAAGAATTCTTCGCTGCCTATACTGAAAAAGGTTGGGGAGCTGTGCTGGAGAGTTTCAGGCAACAAACACCAGAGTGACTCTGACTCATGGCCTTTTTGTTGGTCGGAAAAACCATGTGATGAAGAAATTAAAAATGCGCAAAAAATATGTCAAACCAAAAAAGCGTATGAATTTGGTAGTGATCGTGTGTACAAAGGCTTTGTGTGGTTCAGTTTGTTGCAAAAGGTTTGTCATTAAGTTTCTGTTTGTGTAACAAAAATTAAAAAAAAAAAATAAAATTAATTTGTTCTTAATCGGTTTTCAGGCTTTCAGCCAAAAAAGTGATCTCAGTTATGATAATGATATAATAATAAACTACTGTATATAAAATCTTCCCTATTTGTTTTGTACATGCGTCAACAATATCGTCAACATATGCCCCCACACAAAAACACAATAGTATATTTACGTTAACCCCTGGAATATGAATTACAGTTTGAAATTCTACAAATTTCGACACCATCAGATATTGGGATTAATATTAATAACATATTTTTCTCCAATAATTATAGCATGATCATTGATTTTTAATTAATTTTTTTTTTCAACCCCCATTACTACAATTGATCATCATGGGAAAAAAAAATTAAAAAGATAAATAAAATTTAGTCAATACCGAAACGGAATTTAGAGGTTGTATTATAAATGAAGTTTTAACTAGTCGGTTTTGCTCTGATACCCCAGGTAAGGTTATGTTTGGATGATTTTTTGAGTGTGTTTTTTGTATTGAGAATGTAAAAAAGTATGTTAAGATGTGATAGATATTACTCCCTCCATTCACAAATAGATGTCGTTGTAGAAAAAACCAAATATTCAAAAATAGATGTCGTTCTCACAAATCGAGGCATATTTTGTCAATTTTTTCCAATATTATCCTTACATTGAAAATTGTAGAGATGTTTCATGTAAAATTGTATTAGAACTGAATTTTATTAGGACTACAATTGAATTAAGAATAAATGAGGGTATTATAGTATTTTAACAAGATAATTATTGCCTCCTTAAACTTTGTGAAATCTCTCCAACGACATCTATTTGTGAATGGAGGGAGTAATTAAAAATTCTGAAAAAATGAAAAAAAAAAAAAACGAACCAAACAGAGCCTTAGTTTTTACTTCCTTCCGGACCCACATACCCCGTTTTGACGTTTCCGTATCGAGGGCCCAAAATTAACAGCGCTCTCCTCTGCTCGCCGGTAAATCTCCGGATCGAAGAGAGTTATTAGTTCAGTCTGCTTACCGGCGTTCGATTACTTCTGATGGTGCTCCCCATCCCCGGAGGTTAGTGCTTTCCCCACCTTTTCTTTATGCAGTCTTTTTGTCCGAATCGAATCGATTTGTTTCTTAAAATTGTTCATTGAACGTCGTTAGGGTTTTGGATGTGAGGGTTTTTTCTTCTTTTATCTTCTCGACGGGAATTATAAATTCGTGGATTCAGCTTAAATCATTATTGCATGATTGAATTTTCCTTTCTCCCTGTTGTTTGTTATTGATTGCTAAATGTGCTCCTCTATTGTTGTTGTTGTTGTTGTTGTTGTTTCCCCCAACCAGGGGTCTATCAAGTGGAGGTTTTGAATTACTCTGTTTTTCCGCACTTGAATTTGTCCAATTCACCATGAGAAAAGCTTCCTTTCTTCTTCCCAAGCTCCGGCCAACTCATAAACTTCCTTCTTTTCTTTCCGGCTGTGGTTCTTCCTCCCGGCTTCACTCTGTCCCCAACAAAATCCCAACTCCTGCGCCAAACATATCCCAACACCCATCCTGCCATCTCCCAATAACTGTTGCTACTTTTTCGTCTAATTTCTCAAACAAGGAATTTTTATTCCGGAATTTTTCTACCCACTCTGGCGATGGCCCGACACTCGAAGATTACAAGTACGTGTTTTGGATGGATCTTAGGTCTCCAGAAAAAACCACTGCTGACAAGTTGAAGATATTTGCGGTGATGGATACAATGTTTGAAGAATCAGATCTAGCGGATGCTTGTCTTTTTATGGGGATTGAAATGGTAGTAGCTAAGGATCCTAAAAAGGCGTTATATTTTGGTACCCGAGCTCTCAAATATTTTGATTCAGGTGAGGAGAAATCCCCTGTTAAACTTTCTATGTCTTACCGATTGATTGATACTGCATATGAGGGTTTGAATAGAATGAATGATGGAGTACTATCACAGGGCACTTGAGCTGATGGATACTGTCAAGGATGATGATTCTCATGATTTTTGGGTTGGTATGTATGTAATCCATTGGGGATTATACCAAATTAAACTAAAACTTAAGAGGAGAGTGGAGGCTGTTGGTCATCTTAGGAAGTCATTGGAGATAAGAGAGACTAAGTTGCCTGAAAATCCCAGAGATCTAGCATTTGTTAATATGGAGCTTGCAGAGCAATATGTTAGTGTTGAAAATTTCAAGGAAGCGTTACCATTTGGTTTGAAGGCCTTGGATATGCATGTAAAATTGGGTTTAAATCCGCATATTGTGGCGATTGCCCGGACGGGCCTAGGTATGATATATTCTGGATTGGGGGAGCATGCAAAGGCATCTGAGCAACATGAACTTGCTGGGAAGTTCTTACGTTGGGATGGTAGTTATGATTCCCTCGTCGAGAAAGTTGATGTAGCCAAAGAGCTAATTGACGAGGGAAGATATGTTGAGCCCATGGCAGTTTTGTTTGTTCCTGTACATAGTGCACATCTTATGAACCGCCCTGAAGCCAAAAATGATCTTGAGTTGCAGAAGAAATTTGAGGAAGCTTGCAAGCTATGGAGGCTGTGTAAGGAAGGATAGTATTGCTCATCTCTTGATTGCGTTGCGCTGTGTGAGGAAGGATAGTATTGCTCATCTCTTGATTGCGTTGCCTTTTTGTTGACAAATTGCAGCCGCCGTTTTTCAAGTTGATAAGTAAATATTAGCTGCCTTTTGTTTAGGTAGTTCGTTAGGGGTGCTCGGTAGAAATATTTAAGTTGTTGATATGAATTCCATTCCAACTTTCAAGTGATTTGTAGCAGAAATGCATATTACTGGAAGGTGAAATGTACACTGGTCGTGGTGCTCTTTGAATTTGTGCTGTTTGCAGCTTTATTGTCTTAATTCTGCTTTTTCTTTTATGCCACCCTTTTCTCAGTTACATAACCAGATATCATGAATTAAAAAGAACATCACCATCCAGTTCCATTACTGCTGCTACTAAATGCACTATGTTGCTGAACCTTTTTAATGGGACTGTCACCTTGAACTTTTGTGATGATGGCTAAAAATTTACTTGTCGGTCATATCTTGTTTCGATTGTTTTAATTCATGAATGATTGGAGAACACAAAAGCAGTAACAAGCAGAGGGAGATTCTGAAATTAAAAAGATCAAACATCCAACAGATACAATGAGAAGCTGAGTTTTGCGCCTCAGTTCAAACTTCAAACTGAATCTTTGGAAGTAAAGGCAGCACTATTAGTGACTTGAAGCCACTGACTCAGAGGTGCCCATTTCTGGAATTCCGGCTCCATTTGGAGGTCGATCGGAAAACTAGTGATTACTCCCTAAAAACTACTTTGTTGGCAAGTTGTGATTCCTCAAAAAATTAACTCGCAGTGCAGAAGAATAAGAAAAAGCAATATCAGAACTCAGAAGAATTACTGGCCTAGAGTCATGAGCTTGACTTCTCCTTGAATCAATTCCAAAATTTCTCTACGGAGAATCAGAACGATGGTGGTTATCATAGTGATACTGCTTAAGATGAAAATCTGTCACGCAAAGAAGCTAGAAGGCACATGTCATGAACGTTTTCGCCAAGGTTTCCGCCATGCCTACCACCTACAGGAAAAAAAAGACTAGCAAGTCAAACCATGAAACAGTATGCAATAGCATATGGACAGAGCAAACAACAGAATTTTCTCAAGATTTTCTGAATTTTAATACTTTCCATAGTTGAAATGTTGGAAGCTAAGGAGGGTATAGTTTCTAAAAGCAGTTAAACATCAAAGCCTCACTTTGATTCACGGAGCTATGAGAATCATTTTAGGCTAATTATACTCCACTCAAAATAGAATACAAATATCAAGATACAGTATCCCTATAGAGCTAAGTCGAGAAGTATAAAGCAGAATTCTATAGCTTATTCAAATTGAAACATCAGAGTAAGTATATAACCTCTGACTAACGCGTCAGTGAGGGAGCTCTTTTCCAGGTGCAAGAATCACAAATACATACATTCGGTTTAATTCTTACAGGTAATAATTGGCTCTATTTTATGTCAACTTATCAAAGAATTTGTCCCTAAAAGCCTAAGCCAATTGTTTTTCTATACTCTTTGTAACCGATGTGGGATTTGTACCTAAAGCATGTTTAGTGAGTTGATAAAAACACGCTGCATTTCAACAACTTTGTGTTTCTTGGCCATGATGTTAATTCAGGTTATTGACCATGGGATTTCTAAAAGCCTAATGGAAGAGGCAATGTATGCGATTCATGAGTTTTTCTGGATGCAAGCTCAATACTAGGCAAGCCATTACTTAATAGATATGAACAAAAGATGCAGACTCTTTTCCAGTATCACAGCAATCTATGATGAAGAAGAGATTCAGTTTTGGAGGGATATTGTCATCCCTTTGAAGACAGCATATATGCGATATCAGAGAGTTTAGTTTGAACACATATGCTACTGAGTCATCCGGGAGACATGGACTGAAATCGTGCCCGTGTCATAATACATTTATAAATCAATGACATATGCGATTCCAACTGATCATCAATGGACCAACTTTACAAAAAAAAGCAGTCAAAATGTAACCTGATTGAAGTCCCTTTCCATTATCCACCAGCACCAGAAACATCTGAATTCATCTCCGCGAAGATAGAAGCAAAATCTCAGCCCAACTATTAACATAGAAATCATTTTCAGAGAATGCATACAAGGGCAGTTAATCGAAATAAAAGCTGATCACAAACTTGGGTTCCTTGGCCTATAAAGCTGATAAGCTGCAAAAACTAACAACAAAAACATCTTCGGGGTCACAAAGCCATATCCCTCAAAGCAAGAAACTCATAGTAAACAATAACTGGTTCACCTACAATACATAGTGCAAATCCTAATCTCGGGAGCTCCAAAATCCAAAATGGATGATGGTGACAATGCATAGAGCAAAATGGAACGAGTAGAATTTTACATGAAATTCTGTTAGGACAAATGACGATCTCATGTATGCTTTGGCGCTGAAAGCAACAGCATTCCATTTTTCTTCATTATTAAACCCTTGCTGAAAAGAAAATAAAAAAAACCTTGAGCATATGTATGACAGTCTGCTTATTGGATACCTAATTTAAAATGATCGTGATTAAACCAAGATGAAAGGTGATGAATAGACCAGAAAAAAATAAACATAAACTGGCACCAAGCTTTGACCCTTGGGGGATTGCAAGCTTTGATATGTAGCAGATGATGGGAAAAGAGGGGGTGATTTACATTCTGAGATGTGCTTGGTATACTTGGCACTGAAAGCAACTGCAAGCAATGTAGAGCTTACATGTCTTCTTTTTTATATACATATCGAGGAAGCGATAACTTATTTACACCTCCATGGGTTGACTCTCTGGCCAATAAAATCTTAAAGTATGTACAGCTTCAAGTGGCATATTTGACAAAATATACACCCCTTGGGGGCATGAGAAACCAAAATTTGCCAAAACATCAGCAACTACATTGTTTTTCCTAGGAATATGATTAATTTATACACCCCTTGGGGACATGCGAAACCAAACTTCGCTGGAATATCAGAAACTGCATTGTCTTTCCTAGGAATATGACTCATTTATAATGACCATGTTTCAATAGCTCAGATATATGACCAAAGACGTTGCTGTTTGCTGTGGATGTATTTTCATAGTCCAACAACTGTACAGCTTCCAGACAAAAACTCTAGTAGAATCCGTCTATATCCAGTTGCCGTAGGATAATGAGAGCATGGTATGCACCCCAAAACTCTGTTTCCAAGCTACAACAATCTCCCAGCTTCACAGCAAAATACTGACTTCATCCAGCAATTCTAACAACCCCTCTCGCCGCTGCTTGGATAATGAGAGCATGGTATGAAAAACCAGCAAAAAGGCTATATGAAAACCCAGAGATGGTTTATTATTACTCTGCAAAATTACCCTAAGTTTCAAATTCAAAATCCCGGCAAATTTGTCGAATTCAGCCATGAGAAAAGCTTCCTCTTTACTTCTTCCGCAGTTCCGACGGCCCCTTAACAAAACCCATTTCCCTTTTATTCCCGGCGGTGGTGATTCTTTCTCCGGGCTTCATTCCCTCCCTAGCTTCCCCATTCCTGGTTTGAATGGATTGGAACCCCATTCGATTTCAACCAAACATTTTGAGGGTTCTTTTGTGCCTAATTTCATGAAGATGGAGTTTTTATCACGAAAGTTTTGCACCCGAGCCTTCGAAATTGAAGAAAAGAAGGATCTGTTTATGAGGGAGTTTCAAAGTGCCAAAACCGTTGCTGAGAAGTTAGTAATATTCGAAGAGATGGAGTCAATGTTTGAGGATGATGAAGAATATATAGCTGGTGGATATTGGTCAATGGGGCGGGAACTACCGACAGAAGCCAAAGATCCCGAAAAGGCCTTGACTTTTGCTACCCGGGCTGTTGAATTGTTCGATAAAGGTGATAATGAACTCTCCCTTGAACTTGTTTTGTGTTTGAATTTGTTGGGTCAGGTGTATGAAGAATTGAATTGGTTACATGATGCATTGGGGTGTTTTAAAAGGGCGCTTGGGATTTTGGATAGTATGAAAGAAAATGATACTGGTGATTTTTGGTCTACTCTGAATAGAACCCACTGTTTGTTATTACATATTAAGAGGAAAATTGGGAGGAATGAGGAGGCTGTCAATCATCTTGCAAAGTCATTGGAGATAAGAGAGAAGAAATTGGCAGAAAAACCTAAAGTTCTAGGATTTGCTTATATGGATTTAGCAGAGGAATATGCTAATCTTTCGAAATTCAAGGAAGCGTTACCATTTGGTTTGAAGGCTCTAGATATTCATATTGGATTGGGTTCTAATCCAAACATTGTGGCGCTTGTCCGGCGGCTTCTCGCCAAGATATATACTGGATTGAAAGAGCTTGAAAAGGCATCTGAACAAGTGAAAGTGTCTCTGGAGCTCTCGGAATCTGGTGCTGGTTCTGACGCTCTCGACTCTATGATTGATGCTGCCAAAGTGCTGATTGACTCAGGAAGATACCAAAATGCCATGGAGATTTTAGAGGCTCCTTTAACTTGTGCTTATAAATTAAACAAAGTTGTACCTCTAGTTATTCCTGAGTTGCAACTGAAAATTGATGAAGCTCGCAAGCTATGGAGGATTTGCGAGGAAAAAGGATTCCAGCGCCTGCACTATGAAGGAAATGAACTCCTTGATTTGGGCAAGGGCCCAAATATCAGATAAACAACATCCAAATTTTAAAGGCCTTAATCTTGAGCCTCCCATGTAAGCGTCTTTGTCCAGGACTCCTTTATCCTGATTCTCCACCCAATTTCAATTGGATTTTTTCTTAATCATCGTAATAGTTATATAAAATAGGGATTGATGTCTTTATTTGAACGTTTGTGCTTTACTGTTTCTGCTCAAGATCTCGAGTTTTGTCTGATTGTTTACTTTTTGTTAGAACTTGGCCTTGGCTTTTCCGTGGCTACTCTCTCGGCGCTGGTTTTGCAGATGTGGAGTGCAAGTCTTTTTGTTGGAGGCTCTTGACAGATCATTGATGGTTCCTTTTGAGGTTAAAATGTGGCCCCGGCTTTTGGTTGATCCAGCTATGATCTCTGGCGCTGATTTCACAGATGTGGAATGCAGGTTTGCCCCCATTTTGAAGAGGGATGCAGCATCTGTGCTTGTTATAAGCTAGTTCTGTTTATTTTACTTCCTAGGAGTCCTTTGTGTTCAATGATCATCTCATGTGTATGTTGCTAATTACCAGCTACTGCTATTCAGAGGGCCTCAGCAGAACTTATATTCCTATAACTTCATAATACAAGTAAAAATGTACATGTCAAACAATACAAAATGTTGTACTGAGTGCTGTTACAGGAGAAGTATAACTTGAGAATTCAATTTGAACTTCTTGAAACAGCTAAGTACTGCAAGGGAGCTCCCCTGCGAGCTATAAAAACAATTAACAGCACATAAAAATTAAGCATGAATGTAGTTGAATCCATGCCTGGAATCTATGTTTTATCTCCAGAAAAGTAGTTCTGGTCGTCGACTAAGGAAACGTTGATGGGCGTGAACTGTGTTGAAGTGTCTAAAACAGTCCAGCCGAATAAAACTGCATGCTTCTTCAAAGGCCTGAACATGATAAATTCTACAGTGCATAAGAGCGGAAATACGCCAGAAATAACATTTTCCACTGTACAGAAACAAATCTGCTCGTAATGCCACAGCTTTGCATGTTGGCAGACGACAACTGGTACTTACATAACTACACAAAACATTGCAAGTGCTGTAATCCGGTAGGATCAGCTTGCACAATAAAATATTGAAATACAAAATGTTATTCATCAAAGATGTATGTCTTGATATCCCCTGGCGCATAGCCTCCTCCAATATTGCAGTTATTTAGCAACAGCCAATTGAATTCACAAAATCCAAGCACTCCAATGAAGCTGCGCATCACTGTGCATGCTCCTGCCCACCCGCTGCTCAGATTCTCTCGTTAAAGGAGAAGCAAAAGATTGTTTCAATATACAGTAAAAAATTCACCATTGTTGATTGTTTTAATGTCAAAGAACCTAAAACCATGCGAAAGAGGAGAAAATGAAGTGGTTTTTGGGCAAAATTTTTACTTTTTTTTTTTTAATTGTTACTTTTCACTTTTGGTGTGATCGGCGATTTGGTGTTATGAGCTCTTTGGCTGAATTTTTTGTTTTTTTTTTTCGCGAAATGTTTGAAGCTAAATTTTCTGGTTTTGGTTTAATCGATGATCACTAGTCATTTTTTTTTCTTTTTTTGGCGAAATGGGTGATCGTTTATTCCTTTTGGTGCAATTCTTTTTTATTATTGTTTTTTTTTTTTGTGTATATGTGAGGTGTTTTGGCGATAGAAGGTTCAAATTGACTCTATTACAAATATCTAATGCAAGGATTCAACGAATTTTTGTCTACGAAACCCCTCTCGATTATTTTTTGACTACATGTATGATTCTGATTTTGTTGTTCAATTTGTAGGAATGAGACAACAAACTTGGAATTTTGAAATCTGAGATCTAAAAAATAAAAAAATAAATACAAAAAAAAGAGAAAGAAAAAAAAAAGTATTACTAAATATAACTTGATTTTACTTACGTGTAACTTAATTTTACTAATGTAACTTGAAATCTCTAGTCCATCAAGATAAATTAAATTTCACCTAAGAGTGACTTTTGTATCAAAAAGCCTTTTCTCTCATATTAAAAAAAAAAAATACTCCCTCCATTCCAAAATAAGTGTCGTTTTAGAAAAATAGAGAAATTCCAAAATAAGTGTCGTTCTCACATTTTAATGCACTTTATGTCAAAAGTTTTCAAAATTACTCTCAAAAGAGTTGATGCTATTGGTGGACAATTTTATAATGGAGTTGGATGAAGATATTCAAGTAATTTTATTGCCTTATTTAAGAGTTTCTTAAATTATGTGCAAAGTGTAGGATGATACTTATTTTGGAATGGAGGGAGTATTAAACGGGTTCACAAAGTTTATGTTTTTAATACTCAATAAAATATCTTTGATGGAAGTGGAAAATTGGATAATTTGGACGGGCAATATTACAAAGGTGTAAAAGATGAGAAACAAACCCCTAAACCCAGAATTAGCATGTCGTTTCGTTTTTAAGGGTTTGACAGTCAGTCACCAATTCAAAGTCTTCAAATTACTCAACGGAATTGACACAATTACAGATTCAGTCCGACCGGAAAATTGTCAAATTTGCTATGAGAAAGGCTTCCTCCTTATTTTTTCCACAGCTCCGGCGATCCCATAAAATCCCTTTATGTTCTCTTTCTGACCATCGTTCTTTCTCCCAGCTGCACTCCCGTCAAGACATCCCATCTCCTGCTGCAAATGGACGAGATAATCATTCACGCCATTTCCCCAAAACCGATGGTAATTTGTCCTTTAATTTCATAAAGAACGAGTTTTTCTCCCGGAATTTCAATTCCCAAGCGGAAAATGCATCCGAAGAGTATAAAGACCAGCTTTGGAAGGATTTTCTGAGTCTAAAATCCACTACTCATATGGAAACGCTGTTCAAGGAGATGGAGGCAATCTATGATGAAGCAGAACTAGCGGTGCCATGCCTGGTGATGGGGATTGAAGTATATCAAGAAGGTAAGGACCCTGAAAAAGCTTTATCTTTAGCTAATAGAGCTCTCAAGATTTCTGTAACTTGTGATACTGAGCCTTCCCTTGAACTTGCTATGTCTTTGGGATTGTTGGGTTCTGTGTGCTTTAGTTTGAATAGGCTTGATGATAGTTTGGAATATCTGGAAGGGGCAAATAGGGTGTTCAATAGTCTGGAAATAGATGGTTCTAGAACATTTCGCCTTCCTCGGTATAATGACCCGTATGCAGATGATGAAAGAACCTTTTGGCTTCATCTCCATGCTGTCCAGTATGGATTATTTGGTACCAAGACAGCAATTGGACGGAGAGAGGAGGCTATAGATCATATTGGGAACGCATTAGAGATAAGAGAGAAATTGTCGATGGATGAAGATTCTGGGTCTTTAGGATTTGCTTACAGGGATGTAGCAGAGGCTTATCTTGCTGTTTTGAATTTCAAGGGAGCATTGCCATATTGTTTGAAGGCATTATATCTTTTTAAAGAGCAATATGGGCAGAAATCACTGTATTCGGGTCTTGTGTTGAGGCTTCTAGGCGTGATATATACTGGATTGGGGGAACATGAAAAGGCATTGGAGCAAAATAAGTTGTCTCGGGAGGTTTTCAGAAGTTGGGGCGCCAATTACGACTTACTCCTAGCTGAATCTGAGGGAGCCAATATGCTAATTGCATTGGGAAGATTCGACAAGGCTATGGACACATTGAAGGGTGTTGTAAACCAGCCTCTAAACTATATCGAGCATCCTGAAGTTACCGCATGGCGATATTCATTGTATCAAGTCCCAAGTCCATACCATGCGAAGATAATCTCAAAAGCTCAACAAAAACTTGAGATGGAGGAGAAAGTCAAAGAAGCTCAGCAACTGCTTGAGGAGTTGTTGAAGAAGAAAGGCGATACGGGGTGCTCTGCATCCTCAAAGGAGGCTCTCTTGTAGGCAGTGCCTTCAGTTGACAAATGAAAAATGGCCTATTGTTGTCCAATATATGATTGGTTATTTGTTGCTTAGAGGGGTTCAATCATGCTCCCGGATCAGAATTTAAAAAATCTGTTCTGGTTTACTTGGATATTATTCTTTTTGACTTGCCATTTGTTCAAATTCTATTTGTATTTTTTTTAAAACTAATTGGCCTGCTTATTGTCTGGATTAGTTGGAGAGAACAAAGGCTGCATTTTTTATTTGAAGTAATCTTTGATAATTTACTTCAAGATCGATGGGTTTAATAATTTTTGAGGTTGTAAGATTTCAACTAATGCTTCTTCTTTTTTCTGTAATCTTTCAACAAATACACAAGGGTGAGGCAGCGAGTATGTTGCCTCATTAGTTCATAGAAGGCTTTTACTTTCTTGAATATTGGTTGCCCTCCACATTTGACCCGAAATATCAAACTTGGACTGATATTGTTTGTTTATGGGATATGAGACATATGCTCTGCCCGAGAGAAGTATTGATCACCGGTGTACAAAATGCCCGTAATTTTCTATCTCCTGCAATGTCTAATATACTTCCTTCGTCCCAAAAAAAATACTTTAAGTAGTATAAATTTCAAAACTCAATGTAGACTATTGTTTTGGGACGGAAGTAGTATGAGTTTTCTTTGACTTAAATTTTAGCTAATCGTTGGCTTATTAATTATGTTTCCTTTGCTTTTGTTAATGGTATGGAGGTAGTTATGAGTCATATTCAATTCATTGACACTTTTCTCAAATAGTTAGCACTTGACATTTTTCGCCGACTCTTGACCTATTTCATCTGTTACCGCACATTGCACACTGCATCTGGTCCCAGCAAAGTAAAATATTATTATGGTGTGCTATTTTTATGATTCTGTACCTCTCCCATTTGCATCATTTGGTAGTATCATCCCCCAATATTAGCTTTTCATTTACAATTTGTAATTTACAAGAACTCTGGAAATCGGAATTTAGAATAAGTTGCGTGTCCATCGCTTTATGTTGCTGGGTTAAATGATTTATTAGTATTTCATGAGGTTACTATCATATGGAAATGGCTAGTTATACATTTCACTTCAAGTCGTGGATATATTACTTTGTCTCGGACTGATCGAAACTTATTTACTGGTGATATTATGTTTTTGTTTGTGTCTTTAGAATTGCATTGTTGGTGATCTTGATGGTGGTTAAATTTTAGCTGCAGTTGCCCGTGGATTTCTAATCATACACGCAGTTTACAGGGATTAAACACGCTGCTGAGAACAAGTCCCATTGTATGCATACTTAAAAAGAAATATCCGTTATTGTTTCAAAATGTTGTAGAAAGTAATGTTAATTTCTTTTCCTTGTCAAGCAGATATCTTGAACGCTCAATAAAAATTTGCTATTTGGTGTTAAAACTATGGCTTAATGGATTGATTTTGTTTCTACAGTGGCTGAATCTGTACCTGTCCAAAGCTAAGCTGCTGCTAAAAAACTTTTGCAGAGGTTGAAATCCGCCTAACCAATGTGATCAACATTTCCGAGTAAGGAGACATAGCTGGAGGAAAAAAGAGGAGACTGTTGTTCTTTTATTGAGTGGGAAAGGCAAAAAGCTGCAGTAGGCATGTCAACAGGAAACAACCTTGCTAATGTTCACCGAAATGAGGTCTTTGCATGACAGCTTCAAGAGCAATTCGATTTGGAAGACAGCCATGTAAGCATCATTCTGAAGTATATATACCTATGCGTCTCCATGTGAACCTGTAAAGCTCTACCCTATACATTCAGGAAAGCATGCCATCGTGAGATTATCAAGTTGCGATTTTTGGTATTACTATTGTTAAATCCCATTAAGTATTTCCTGCTGTTTTTACAAGCTCAGAAAGATCCTCATTTATCGGATGCAGAGCATATAAGGATGGGCATGTTCAGTTTTCAAAGATACAATGTTGGAGCTGATGGTAGGACGAGCTAGAGTTAGAAGTAGAGGAAGATGGAGGAGAGGAGGCAGAAGTAGGGGCTGTTTCAGTTTGCTCGCCTACCTATATTTGTTTGAAACTCTTTGGCTTGGTCATTCCTCCCTCCGATTGTCGCAAGTGAGGCGCAGGGGTAACTAAATCCCAATCTGCCTCTCTTTGAAGGAATTCTGTGTCTAGCTATTGCACTCCTGGATGCTACCAAACTAGAGTATAGGTACCTTTCTCTTCCATCTAGAATGCTGCACATATGTCTCGCTTTACTTTTACTTCACCGTGAATTGGTGCCTGATCATTTAAAATTGTTTTACAAATGATAGTTGTACTATGGCCTGTTAATGCTCTACCATTTCCCGTTAGCGGATTCTTATCTGATCAGAATCTGATTGTTGCTAGGTGTACACTTAGGTCTAAGAAACTTTTAACCTGCCATTGTAGACTAACAAGTTCAAGTTAATCCCATTTGCGAAACAATTTCTAAATTTACATTTATCGCATGTCAATATTAGCGATGATAAGTCCTGCTTGGACAGCTTTCGTAACCTTATTTTGCTTCTCCTTTAACGACAGAATCTGAGCAACGGGTGGGATGGATAGCTGGAGGATGCACAGCGATGCGTAGCTTCACTAGAGGGCATGTATCAGTGGATTACTCTTTTGGTTGTTTTTCACTGAATAACTGCAAGATTGGAGGAGGCTATGCGCTAGGGGATATGAAGACATACATCTTTGATGAATATCAGTTTTGTATGTCAATATTTATACTGTAGCTGATCTTACTGATGAAATACTTGGGCATCTTTAAAGAGCAATATGGACAGAAACCACTGTATTCAGGTCTCTTTTTAAGGCTTCTAGGCGTGATATATACGGGATTGGGGGAGCGATGAAAAGGCATTGGAGCAAAATGAATTGTCTCGGGAGGTTTTCTAAAAGTTGGGGCGCCAGTTACAACTTATTCCTAGCTGAGTTTGAGGCAGCCAGCATGCTAATTGCATTGGGACGATTCAACAAGGCTATAAATACATTGAGGGTGTTGTAAACCAGTCTCTAAACTCTATAGAGCACCCTGAAGTTACCGCATGGCGATATTCATCGTATCAAGTCCCAAGTCCATACCATGTGAAGAACTATCTCAAAAGCACATCTATAGTATTATACTAAGAGAGAAATCAGAGAAAGGGAATCAAATTTCTTCCCACCTTGACACATAGGACAAAATCCTATGTGTCAGTTTTTAATTGGTTTCAACAAAAATTATTTTTAACAATTACACCAAATGTCCTCTAAATTTTCAGTTATTCATTTGTTACCAATTTGAAATTAATTGAATATATGAACCATTAATTAACATAACCCACTAAATCAGCAAAAAACATAATCAACAAAAACTTTCTATTTCTTAATTGTGAGATGAAATAAAAATGGAAAATCTTTAAATCTTCCATTATGTATCATCCAAAAAAGGTAAGAATTAATTTTATTCATTATACAATCTGATTTGATTTGAAATTCAAAAACAAACATATATAATCCACATCTATCTATAATATATATCTATCTATAGTATTATACTAAGAGAGAAACCAGAGAGAGAAAACAAAAATAGATTTCTAGAGTGCCACATAGGAAAAAATCCAACGTGGCATTTTTTCAAAATTTAGACAAAAAAAAGTTTCAACATTTAACTAATAGTCCCTAGAAAATATTAGTTATAGCATATTATATCACATTCACTATAATAGTTATCTTAATTCATTAACATTAAATATGCCCAATATCTTACCTAATTTGTTGGTAATTAATCTTATATTAATAATTAGAATCACACACATGGTTTTTACCTTTCAGAGTCCCGTTCATATTTGTTCTTACCATATCAATTTATCCATTTATGAACATATTCAATTAATGATAAAATTCCAATCATCACGGTGATCTTATCAATCAATTCATTAAATATTTGAAAATCAACTCAAAATAAAACAACATCAAAGAAATTACATTAACTGGCCATTAACGTAGACGATAAGGTCAACCATGAAAGAAATCCAAGATTTTATGGCAAAAAACATTTAAGATAATTTAAAACTCCACCAAAACATTTCAAAAATCTTCTTTTTACATGAGGTATATATGATCCCAACATCTATGCTTTTGTATCCAAAATCGAAACAAAAACACAAAATTCCATTCTTATTCTGCAAACCAAGTACTAATATTGACGTCGCCAGTGCCATTTTCAAGGTATTAAAATTTTGATTTATTTTCGCTAGACTTTATCTGTTAGTTTTCAGAATTTTGGATTGAGATTTTATCTGCTAAATTTTGATTTGGTTAAAAAATAGATCTTGGATTTGACTGATTTTTCATGTGGCTTAGACAGCTTAGTTATGAAGCCAAAAAAATCTTTGATGTTGTTTTGCAAGATTGTGTCTGCTCATGAATTTGTCACATAGGAGATGTTTACTGGAATCAAGTTTTATATATAATTAATTGTCAGTGCGCAGGTTTTGAGGTTTTCAACGCATTCATCTCCGATAGACTATGATCACCACGACTCCAAGCAGCAGCAAAGCGTAGAGGATTATGACAAGTCGATCAATCTAATAATCATATTTCCTCTCTCATAAGAGGATTATGGCAAACCGATGATATTTCTTTTTTCCATTAAAGTGATGAATCAAAGGTAATACTGTATTAAGAACTGCATATTTCTCCATTTGCTTAGCCTTTGACACTTGAATGGTCAGCATATTTTTTTTCATGCTCTTTTTTTTTTTTTTGTGTATCTTTTTATATTTTCATTAATCTATACTTATATATGTTAATATGTAATCCTTTAAAATCATGTGACTAGATACCATAATTATATATATTAGTGCATCCAATAAGATAGTCCACTTTATTAAATTAAAATAATAATACAAAGTAAATTAATTTTTTTTAGGATAAGAAAGTACATTTTTTTTTGGAGAATTGTCGTTATTTTCTATTAGTGATTCTTTTGGTTTTTTTAAGCTTGGTAGATTGCTTCCATTCAATGTCATCTACATGCATTGGTACGTTTTCGAATGTTATTCAACCTGTCCATATATTATACTATATTTGGAGGAAGTGTTGTAAATAACAATTTTTTTTTAAATTTCAAGCAGGAAACAATATGTACAACTATTTCAAGTATTTTTTTTGTTTTATTTTAATCTTTGCAATCATCTTTAATATTTTGTATCTTATGATTGTTATATTATTGCATTTTTTCCCGTGCGGGTATAAAAGAGTTTCATTTTGTATGACATGTAACATTTCAATCAATTAATTTTGTTGATGATCTTATTTACTTTTACTCCTATAATAATTATACATATAACTATTATATGCAATTTTTTATTTATAAAAATATTTTTATTACAAACTAACAACTTCATTTAAAATTTAATAAATATTTTCATAAATATAAATGAATAAACCCCACACATCGTGGGGGTTTAACATCTAGTTTTATCTATAGTGCTCTAATTTCAACCTTTCTTTACTTTTAATACTCCCTCTCTCCCAAAATTATTATCCAGTTTGTGTATTTCATTTTTAGTACACAAACTGGACAACAATTTTGGGACGGAGGGAGTAGTATATACCATTGGAATGTTTTCCTCCGATGGTGATGTTCAATCATTCATGATTTGCCTATCAATTTTGAAAGACATATGTTGAAGTTGAACTAGGACTGTTAAACGAACCGAGTCGAGTTCGAGTACTCGTGAGCTACTCGGTTAACTACTCGAGTTTGAGTTCTAAATGTGGAGCTCGAAAGCTCGTCAAGTAGCTCGACTTGATTATATTTAATAATATAATATAATAAAATATATAATTTTACAATAAGTTTCTACATCACTTTTTACTTTTCTAGCTATAGCTTTCCAATTCTCCATTCCACCGATGTTGAACTATGTTGAACAATAACACAGCTGATTTCTAATTCTTGCCGTATTCGTTTTATTTCCCCTAACATCTGTGGCTTCTCCTAATATCTATGCCACCCTTAAAAACATGTTTCCTCTGTACCATAACCAAAAGTGTTTTCCTAATTCTCAATATATCATAAAGCTTTCCACGTGAAATGAAACAGATATAGCCCTTAGCGTTTCCTAAAACTTCTTCCCTCTGGGTATGGACAAGTTCTTGTTCTAAAACATCTTTTAAACAACCAGATTCGTACATATGTGCTTGGCCATATAATCCCCTTACAACCAGAATATTGTGTAATTCCATAACCAAAAATTTGGATATAGACTAACTAAATCACAGAATGAAAATGGAAAATTTCGACTAATTGAAAGTTCAAGTCTAGGTAAAGAGTTTTTAAGAGAATTAACAAATCATACTAGATTAATCCCACCTTTTTTTTTTTTTGAAATAAAACTAATACCACCCTTGTTTTCTCTTATTTTACAAAAACAGGCTTAAGGAATAAGCCCAACATAGGGACTAGGCCCAGTATCACCCTGACCACCCTCAGCAGTTAAGGAAGCAGCCTTTGCTCCATCAGCAGAGCCTGAACCTGGGGAAACAGTTTTTGCTCCGTCAGCAGAGCCTGAACCGGCAGCCAAAATGAAGAAAATGATCGGTCCAGAGCTAACGGGTTCAGAACACTTTCGAACCGGTTCCTGCAAACGGACGTTCACTTTGTGACTGGTGCCGAAAATGGATCGCATCCGGTCTCCAAAGGCAGCGAAGGTGACCGCGCCAGCAACAAAGAGAGATGCGCCGCAAGCAAACCGAAATATTGTACCGATCTTCACCATCTGATATAAGATTACACATACAATTTATTAATAATCAAGAACTAACTTATTACGATGAATGCGACGAACTAAGCTTTACAGCAGAGCGAAGTTCGACCTGATTCGGCAATAGTAAATCAATTCAAGAACGAACTCTGAGTCTTCCTCTCCTGATAATCTTTCTTCCCCTATTTCGGAAAAAACAAAATTCATCATAAAAAAAAAATGAATTCGAAAAATTTATCTCAATGGTACCAGAAGAAAAATGAACGAACAATATGAAATCAAGATTAAATCAAAATTAAAGAGAAGATAATGAATGCGATGAACTAACCCCTCCGGTACAGAGAGGTCGGAAATGCCGGCGAGTAGTAAACCTAGAATCAAGAAGGAACGGCACTCTTCTTCTCCCCCAATTTCTCCTCCGCAATTTGGATTAAGAACATTTTTATCAATGAAAATGAATTCGAAACCTAATCGACTGTACCAAAAGAAAAACAAATGGGAGGGAGTGACGATTACCTTACGAACGGAGGCGACTATGAGAGGAGGAACAGTGGTGGCAGAACAATTGTAATCGGGAAGCCTTTGTCTTGAAGTCCCAAATAAGCCCACATGTGATTTCACCTCAAAACCAATTGGCAATGAGGGGAGTAACACATGGGTATATATGTTGGGTTCAAATGTTTCCTTTCATACATATGAGGATAAGGGAGTATGAAACCATTTTCTTTCTTTCATTCATTTAACACTTTGGCGCTACAATATTTTTTCTTTGACTTATTTTTGACTTGTTACCATTCTGCCCGTTTTGGTCTAGGAGTAGCTTTCTATAAGTCCTCTGGCTCTGCTTCTTCCGTCACCGCCGAAATGTGAGCTACCTTTTCATGGACGATCGTCACCGCCGGTTCACAGTCTTGATGCAGTCAGTTTAAACCCCAGGGAACAGGTAACAATTGTTGTTTGTTGCTGTTAAATTTCACTGATTTTTCTTCAAGGTCTATGGTTTAGTTCGTGTATTCCAAACTTATAATTTCTTGCTCACTGCATATTTTTGAGAAGGCTATATCTGGGATTTATCTGGGTAGAATTGTGCTTAGAGTAACCCTACCCCTTATACTTTTGCTATGAAGCATGCTTTTGCTTCTTTTCGGTTGCCCTCATATATGGGCTTGGTTGTATGACTTTGTTTCTTCGCATGAGACAACTGGTCAGTAGTGATTCTTTCATTTTTCGTCAAATTCATCAACTTTTTCATCTTGTATGGATCTCTCTTTTGTTCATCGCTATCTTTTCACCGTTCTAAACTTTCTTTTAGGTATCCTACCCATGTTTGCACGTAGGTAGCACACATCAGGTCAGATTGGTGAAGAAAAAGGATAATTATGACCGGGTCATCGAGGACTGATACAATTTTTTTATGATAATAAAGCATCTTATGGTAGTAATAGAAATATATTCACGAAGCATTTTAGAGATCAGTAGAAAAAATGAGGTTTGTTTCCGATTCCGAAGATGAGGTTTATTTCCGTATCTTGATGATACAACCTAAATGGAATAGTCTGCATGTTTATACATTGATTGTGTACTTGGTTTTCTAGACTTGTTTCTAAAGGCTTCTTAATGTATTTTACTTATTTTGGTTGCAGGTTTACAAGAGTGGGTATCTTCTCCTGTCATTCAAGTTTTTGGTGATTGTTTGGTTGTTTTCATATAAATGCTCTTAAATTTATGGTTTTCAGGTTGTTTTGTTAGTTGTTTTGGTCTCTACTTAGCATTTGAATGGAGAAATTTGTACCACATGATATTACTTGGCGTACACTGATCATATTTGAATTTTTAAATATTACAAGATGATAAAAAATACAGCCAACAAATTTAATTATCGTGATTGAGTTTTGTAATGGACATTTGCATGGCATCATTTGGTGGAGAATGAAGGATGGGCATAAATTGAGGTTAAGACGATTAAATCTTAACTTTTTTCTCATATGAATTTTGTTGTTTAAACTTTGGTCTTAGGATGCAGTTCACTTTGTTGGGTTATACAAGCTGCTTAACTATTGCATCTCACTGTATCAGGTTAAGCATCAGATTCTTAGCGTTCATGTGGTGGATTTTAAAAATTTTCTAGAACGATTGGAAATTGATGTGTGGTTACAGTATAATGAAAAGTTTCCTCTCCACAGAGCAAACATTTCTGGAAGAACCCGGGTTCCAGATGATATACTTGCTGCTTCAAATTTCTCTCCAAAAAATCTCCTCATAGATTCTATAAGAGGAGGAGATGAAGATTTTGTTGCGGTGTGACTGCAGAGTAGGAAGACCTTGAGTTATATTGCAGAGGCAGCAAAAAATAATTAACTTTAGCAGACAATTGAAATGAAAAAAAGACATCATTCTATATATTATCATTTGTTTTTTGAAAAAAAGTTACATACTATTCTCTATATTGTTATAGATATTATCATAAAATTCTCTCTTTTTTTTCAGATAATTTTTTTTCCATTTAACCAACTAAAATTAAATGGGCACCCGGGCCACTTCATTTTTTTCGAATGATTTGTTTTCTCATTTAACCAACTAATTTTTTCCGAATGATTTATTTTTTCATTTAACCAACTAAAATTACAATGGCACGGGCTTTCGCCGGGAACAAGTACAGTTTTACGATAAACATTTTCTAGATTCATACGCTGTGGTTAATTTATATATGACTTTTCAATCTGTATACATTTATAAGCGACCTTAAATTTCATCCTATTATTTTCCGGTACGTAAACATCATAATATTAATATGCCATATCTTTTTTTTTATTAATATGACTGTAACATTAAAGGGCGCCCGGGCAAAGCATCTAGTTCTTTGATTATAGTAGCAGATAATGTAGATTAGTTTTTATTTCTGATTAAGGGAGTGTGTGTGTGTGTGTGTGTGTGTAATCTTTTTCAAAGTGACTGTCCCGGGCTTGGTTACTGCTTCTTTTTGCTTGCATTTCTGCTTTCAACTTGTCCATTCCGGCATTGTTGCACTGAGAGGAGCTAAGAGTGATGAATAAGTTACATTATGTGCTCTTTTGAGGGTGCTATGGAAGGTGGCTTGCACTGTTCGTATGTAAGAACTCTTCTGAAACTATGTTGCCTATTCTTTTGATTTAAGTGTGGGGAAAGATACCAAATCTAACACTTGTTGATTCCATTTCCACCATATTGTTTAATAGCTATAATCCCAATAGTTTCTCGAGTATGCACCAATTTTGATATTTTTTATAACATGTCCCTTTGTTTAATAACTATGTGTAGTTTTTCAACCCTCTGGAAATATGCTACAGATCTCTTTGTGCCTTTCTCTGATGAGGGCTTCTTTTGTGAGTCTTGACATAAGACAATCGTCAGGTGGACTGGTCACACAGATCTCCTAGATGCAATTACTTAGCACTTGGAAACTGGTTCCTGCAGGGAGTACACAGAAAAAAAGAGGCGGGAATGGCTTCTGTCTGAACTTACTTGGAGTGAGTGACCTCTATCCGGAATGACACTCCAAAAACTGAAGATATTACTGTTTTGGATTCTTGTCACTTCCATCAGACTGCTTTGGGGCATATGTCATGTCAATGGCTCCTTCATGTCATTCTGGCAGTTGAACTCTTATGGCGTGAATGCCATCTGAAGACTCCAGTATAAGCTTTATTCCACTTTTTGAGAAATTAGACAATCTGGAGGCTGCTCCTGCTGCCGTTGCTTTTCTCTACTGACTGGTGCAGAAACATGATCAATGGTAAGCAGCGGGTAATGATTGGGCACTCAGATTCAGGTAATGATTGCTTTTCTCTATGTTTCATGGAGTATTTCCAACTTGTGCCTATGCCTCCAGGTAATATGTTACTGCTGCTGGTGTTGTTCTTCTAATCAGTTGTTTCCATAAATTTCTTTTGATAGCCACACCTGAGCTGGTGTATTGTGAGCCGTCCGTAAAAAATAGAAACCGAGTGGAGGCATTAAATCACGTAGAGCTGTAATAACCTGGCTTGGCTTTGGATCAGCGTTCAAATATGCCATCGAGATGTGGATTTTAATTAGAAACTCGCAATGCTTCAAGAAAGGGACAATGGATGGCTTTTCTTTTAGGGTATAATCGATTTAGTTAAAATGGTGTTGGCCAAGGGACTTCTGGGCGTTTGAAGTGCGATTGGGGGATAGACGACTACAAGGAAACAAAGGAACTTAGGTACCAATGGGGTAAAACTACTACAAAGTTCATGAGATCTCACACTGTTCTTGTTTTCGGCTTTTTTGCAGATTGCAAGGCACTACAGGATCTTCTGGAAAGAGACCCTGCTTCAAGCAACAACTTTGTTTGATAGACTATTAGTACATCATGATCCTGAGCATTCAAACCACTGTGTGGAGTTGAGACCTCATATCTATGTTTGGATTTGGAGATTTTGTGTTACCACATTCATGTTCAGAATATTTTTAGAATCAGCTTCCTCCAACTGAAAATTTTAGTTGTGCCAACTTGTGACAGGATGGTAGTAGGAAAATGATCTTTTGGAATAAGCTCGTCGCTGTTTTTATTTTCCTCTTCAACTTACAGTTTTCAGAAAAGTGGAATTCTTAGTTCACGATCATTGGTGATATTTCTCCAAAAGATGAGGCTGTATTCAGATGAGTGCGGAAATGTACACTGTTTTCCTCGCCAGTTGGAATTTTGTACGCAAGAAGGAATTTATAAATTGTTGACAATTAATATCCACTATAGTGTTCCAAGCAAAACTATAGTATATTTGAAGAGTAATAATATATTTAATTCCTATTAATCCTCCATTAGAGATGATAAGATAATAATCTTAATTTTGTAATACTTCAGATTTTAAGAAAGGAAATTAAAGTTAATTAATAAAATAAATATAGAGTTATGATTTAATTGGAAAAGGAGGAGTAGCAGTAGAAAGAAAATACTTTTTATTCCTTTTTTTTGGTTGATTGAAGTCGTGATTTTGAATCGCGCTTTGAGAACGGGAGTGTCGAAGTTCCTAGTTGTCGACTTTATCGTCGAGTTATGAAACTCGACGATAAAGTAGACGCTATTGTTCAAATTGTTTTTTTTTTTTTTTTCTTTTTTTCTTATCCAATTTTACAATTTACATTGTTGGATTTTCAATAATTATTTTAAATTTAATATGCACACGAAAATATGGATTTGTTTTTCGTTTATGTCTTTGTCAGAATTACTAAGATTACGGCAAAACCGACAGAACTAGTTTCAACAACAATAAATATTCTACGACTTTTGTATTGGTATTGGAAAATTTTAATAATTTTTCAATCTGCTTCAATATATTTAGATGATTTTTTATTTAATTAGAAGTTCAAGAAAAAGGTATAGTAAAAATTTATTATTAACTTTATTATCTTTAACATTAATTAACCAAATATGATAACTACAGATAAAATTAGTTATAAAACATAATCAACATATAAATTTGAATATTTATTTAATTTTAGTAGTTTGTGGCGATAATATTGTACATGTTTACTTTTTAAAATTAATTTTAATTTGTTTCATATTTTAGTAAGTTTGCGAAATATTTCATAATTTAATAATATTTAATAAATATTTTATTACTTAAAACTTTTCAAATTATTAATTTGTTTTTTTATATAAAAAATCGTAATAGTTAAATTCTGTTAAAATTTTTTCCCCACATTTTCAATTTGATTATGTTTATTAAAGTTAAACCCTATTAAAATTTGTTAGTATTTTTGCAAGCAGAAACCCCCATTTTTCCACCGAATACATTTTACACAAGTAAACTCTAGTATAAATAATTAAACATCAAATGGAAAACATGAACCGAATAGCTTTCTATTCCGGTCCTACACAATATTTATAATTTATTTGGGGAATATAGATACGTGTATAATTTCATGGAATTTATTTTGCTTGCTGCAATATGCTGGACGTAATGTGGATTTAATCATTTTAGGAATAGTTCGTATCATACCGATTTAAATCTTGTTGACTTGTTGTAATCATGATGTATAATTGCATGAATATATGGGCTATTCTTGGAGTTTGCTATAGTTGCAGTTTTAAGTAAAAAATAAACTTAATGGAAGAACTTGAGTCTGTATCTAGTATACTCGGGGGCACCGTATACCCCTCCTATTTTTTGTATTTCTAGTTCTTATTGTACTTTTTTACCAATCTTTCTATATTTTACAAGTTTAGTCTCTGTCATTTTTTCTCTCTCTTCCAAAAAAAAACATCTCTAATCTTTCAACGAGCATATCTCCCAATCCGTGAAAAATTTGTGAACGAATTATATATGAAATTTATAGTACTCGTCGAGATCTATCCAACAATATTCATAGTGAATATTTTTCAGGGCTTAAAAATGACTTAATTCTGATGGACAAAATAAAAGTGGATATACAGTTTTACAAGATGAATAACCAACTTGTTCTAAATTGGTTATCCATTGTGTTCGTACTGATTATCCAATCAGTTTGAACCGGTTATCTATTTTGTTTGTACTGCTTATCCATTTAGTTTATATGTCTATCCAACTTGTTTGTAATAGATATCTCACTTGTTTGAAATGGATATCCAACTCGCTTCTACTGGATATCCATCTATTTGGTTTATATGCTTATCCAACTTATTTTGTAGTTATAATCCAACGGGTTTGTATGCATATCCAACTTGTTTGTGCTGGATATCCAATTCAATTGTACTGGATATCCATCCACTTCATATTGATTATCCAACTTCTTAATTCAAAATAAGTTGGTTATCCATGTTCTTAAACTGGATATTTAATGTGTTCATATTGATTATCCAACTTCTTTGTGGTGATTATCTAGTATTTTTTTTCTTTGCTCTTTTATGAAAATGATTGTCAAACTTTTTTGTACTAATTATCCAACATATTGCACTGATTATCCAATTATTTTCTATTGATTATCCAAATTGTTTGCAACGCTTATCCAATCATCTTTTTTTTTTTAAGAGTGAATATCAAAAATATGATTGGATAACAAGTACAAACAGAATGGATAATCAGTCCAAATCGGTTGGGTAATCAGTAGGAACACAACGGATAAACATTTTTCAAAAAAAAATAAAAAACACATTTCTTCATTTCTGCCTGTAAAATTTAAATGCATTTAAAGTTCAAAAAAAATATTCAACATGGATTTTATCGGATAGATTTCTTCGAGCACTATAAATTTCATGTATAATTCGTATTCTAATTCTTTATGGATCAAGAGATATATGCAATACAAGAATCTAATATAAACTAAACTGGTTATCCATCTTTCTAAACTAGATATCCATCTTATTTTGGCCTTCGAAATTTAGTCATTTTTAAAATCGAAAAAAATATTCGACATGGATCTTGTTGGATAGATCTCGACGAGTACAATAAAATTCATGTATAACACGTTCTCTAATTTACGGATCATGAGATATGATCGTTTAAAAATTAGAGATATTTTTTAAAGGAGAGAGAAAAAAAAATTAAAGGGACTAAACCTGTAAATTATAGAATGTTATTTAGAAAAGTAGAAAAAAAAAATATAATAAGAACTAGTAGTGTAAAAAATAGGAGGGGAGTACGGTGCTCCCGGATATACTGGATAAATTGCCGAAGAAGTTATAAGGCAATTAGTAATCATATAAAGCTGTTATAAGTGTATAATATCTTAATTTATGGGCAGAATTACAAGATTACGTAATTGTGATGGCGTATGGACAAGTGAAAATGGTAGTGGCAGCAGAAAAACAAATATACAATCCCCATTAAACCCAAAAATCAGGGTTTTCGAAGGGTTTTAGAGCCATCAATTGCCGTATATTACTTCACAACATAAATTCCCCCGGAAAATCGTCAAATCCGCCATGAGAAGAGCTTCATCTGCTCTACTCCCGCAGCTCCGGCGAGGCCATAAAATCCATTTATCTTTTCTTGGCAGCAGTTGTTCTTTCTCCCATCTGAACTCCCTTCCCAACCCTCCAATTCCTGCTCCAAATGGAACAGCATCCAATTCAACGGGTTCCTTTGATTTCAAGAACCAATTTTTATCCCGAAACTTCACGACCCTTGTGGAGAATACCTCCATCGAATCTCCTATGTCCTCAAGGCAAAGAAAAATCAGAGAAAGATTGCAACTTGAGGAAGCTTTCGAGTCTGCAGAGTCCAGCGAGGAAATGCTTAAGGCATTCAAGGAAATGGAAGCAGTATTTGACGAAGGAGAGCTTGGGTTGGCTTGCTTGAAACTGGGGCTGAAACTAGATCAAGAAGGTGAGTATCCTGAAAAAGCTTTCACTTTTGCTAATAGGGCTCTGAAAATTTTTGATAGAGATGATGCAAAACCCTCTCTGCCTCTTGCTATGACTTTGCAATTGTTGGGTTCTTTGTGCTTCGGATTAAAAAGGTTTAATGATAGTTTAGGGTACCTTAATAGGGCAAACAGGTTATTGCAGCATCTGGAAGGAGATAATTCTTGTAGTTCTGATGATATTAGGCCTATTCTCCATGCTGTCCAGTCTGAATTGTTTAATACTAAGACCGCAATTGGGAGGAGAGAGGAGGCTATTGTTCATCTTAGGAATTCATTAGAGTTAAAAGAGATGATGTTGGAAGAAGATTGTAGAGAACTAGGAAATGCTAATAGGGATGTTGCGGAGGCATATGTTGCGGTTTTGAATTTCAAGGAGGCATTGCCATTTTGCTTGAAGGCATTGAACATACATAAAACGCAATTGGGACAGAATTCACTGGAAGTGGCCCATGACAGGAGGCTTCTGGGAGTTATATACACTGGATTGGAGGAGCATGATAAGGCACTCGACCAAAATAAGTTGGCTCAGAGGGTCTTCAAAACTTGGGGTTGCAGTTCTGAACTGCTCCGGGCTGAAATTGATGCGGCCAATATGCAAATAGCTTTGGGAAGATATGATGAAGGTATGGATACTTTGAAGGGTGTTGTACAAGACACTCCAAAAGATAGTGAAGATCGAGCTATGATTTTCGTTTCCATGGCAAAGGCTTTGTGTCATCTGGAGAAGTTTGCTGAGTCAAAGCGTTGTCTAGTCATTGCCTCAGAGATCTATAACAAAAAAGAAGCAGCCTCGCCCGTGGCAGTTGCTGAGGCATATATGGAGATATCAATGCAGTATGAGACCATGAATGAATTTGAAACTGCGATCTCCTTGTTGAAGAAGGCGCAGGCAATGCTTGACAAGATTGCAGAGGAGCAACATTCCGTTGGAAGTGTTTCTGCTAGAATTGGCTGGTTACTACTTCTGACCAGTAAGGTTGAAGAATCACTTCCGTACTTGGAGGATGCAGCTGAAAGATTAAAAGAGAGCTTTGGAAGTAAGCATTACGGAATAGGTTATGTATACAATAATCTGGGCGCTGCATATTTGGAGCTAGATAGACCTCAGTCTGCTGCGCAAGTTTTTGCATATGCAAAAGATATCATGGATGTCTCTCTAGGTCCACATCACGTAGATTCTATTGAGGCATGTCAAAATTTGTCAAAAGCCTATTCTGCCATGGGAAAGTAAGTAATTTTTGTTTATGTTTATTGCAACTTCCAAGCTTGACTTTATAACTCTGGTTCTTCTGGTGTTAACAACTGCTGAGGTTCTTTGTCGAAATTAGGATATTTATGATATTTTTACCGCTAGTTAGCTGTGCTCTTGAGCTTGATTGTTAGTAACTGCTGAAGAGTCAATTTGCGCTCCAGATGATCCCAACTTCTTGTACCCTGCTAATCTTCAATATCCAGAATTTCCAAACCATAACTAGTCCATGATATTTTGGTTTAGAGACTTGTACTATATCTATCTCGGTTTAGTAACTTGTATTATGTCTTTCTTGATATTCCTTTTACTGTTGACTAGTTGTTCTTTAACCTTGGTTTTACTGGATTCTTGCAGCTACCAGCTTGCAATTAACTTTCAAGAGAAAGCAATTGAAGCTTGGGAAGGGCACGGTCAGAGTGCTGAAGAGGAAGTCAATGAAGCTCGCCAACAACTTGAACAGTTGAAGAAGAAAGCCTATGATGCTTCCGCAAATGAGGCTCTCATGAATGCCTTACCTTCACCCCAGACAACGGATGCATCTGCTAGTTGACACTTGACAATTGAAGCACGGAGGTTTTTCTATCCTTGCCGAATGTACTTGTTAAAAAACTTGTGTCTTTTTTTGTTCAAGCTGGCAATAGAGATGTAGAATCTAAATTTTGACTTCAAAACTTTGTTACTGTATTTAGTGTGAGTATTAATTAGTTTTCAACACCTACGTAAGTAATTGTTTTACATGGGATTTAAGTATTTGATGCATTGATGCTGATGGTTTAAATTTTGTAAGTGAATGGAAATACATATACGAAAAAGGAAGCAAATAGGTCAGATGTTGTCCACAAATTTGATTGTCCCGGGTGACAAGGCTACTCGTGGGGATTTAGAAACTAGAATTGTTAAGGGAAACCATCTTTGCGCAGAATGATGCTTAGTAACATGAACAGCATGTGATTACCTTAAAGTTTTTCGATTAAATAAATTTCAACTTGTCGCTGAAAATGTGAAGTCAAAGCCTTTTTATTGCATTTAGCTGTTTGCAGTGTTCACATTTGGAGTAACTTCGAAACTATCAAAACTATAATGCTTATATTACTCTGAAGAACTACGTTTATTTAGGTCAAATTTCCTGGTTGATGACTATGTGAGAATCATTTGACTGGAATTTACTCACACGTGATGTTATACCAGTCTACGGAAAAAATAGATCAGGTTGTACACCTACATCAGGTTGAGAGATTGCAAATTGCAAAACCTAATCAAAGGACAAGTCTTTGGAGGGAAGAAAAGAAAAAGTCCGGAACCACCTCTGGCAGCTGCCTGTATTCAACTGTTCATCCTCTGTGATGGGTTTGGTCCTTGGGAAGCACATGATAATAGGCGCGACAAACGCCCCAGAAACTTGTCGAAACCATGTAGTTATGCATATGTCAAATATTCTTCTGTTCTTCAATACCACTAAGTGAGAAAGTCAATCATGATGATTCCTGAAAGAGACCCTCCACTTCCAGTTTATCTAATCATATCTCTCCTCAATGTTTTTTGAGAAAATGGGTCCTTTTGGGGGGCCTCTGCCATGAATTCTGTTTTACACCTCTTCAAATTTTATCTTCTTCATCAATGTATTTCAACACGGGGATAGTTCTAGAATGAAGAAAGTCGAAACACAATCATTTTCATTCATGAGGGAAGAACCTCACACCAGCAATAAAAATCTTATCTTGTCACTGGTTTTACAATCATTTCACACATTTTTTCCCCTAAATAAACCTACATTTTCAGCACAAATTACCACTACTGACCAGACCTGTTTCTTGCTACGTGTAACATCATTTCTTACCTAATGATTCTCTACTTCTTCTATGCTACAAAGGTACAAACAAACAATCAATGTATATTGCCTAACATGCTAAGAATTTAGGTGAATTGGACCTGAAGAAATTAAAGTGCCAGTAAGAATCGAACTAATCAGTAATCAATGCAAAAACATAAATGTATCATTCATTTTTTCTGTTTTGCTACAATTGATCAATGGGTAGAACAGCCCTTTTAGATCCTTTGCCGTATCCGAATGAAAAGATTGATCTCTGGCTTCTGCTACTGTTGCATTCTTCACTGTTTTTAACCTCGGGACTGAGGTTCTTCTGTTGCTTTAATATCTCTTGAACTGACAAATAAACATGGCGGTCGGCGGCTGAATCCATGGAAAACGATCTCCTGATTGGTTTTATGGAGAACTGATCATCTTTTGCTCCCACATTGATGCATTCATCTCCCATGATAGATGCATGATGGGACTTCCTAGGTTTCCCTTTGCTAAATTTCAGGTCAAATTTTCTGGAGGACTGATATCTTCTTGATTGAGCCAATTGTCTGCTGGAGTCAATCCTTTCTTGCTGCCTCTGCAATATAGCCCGAGTTCTTTCCTGCTCTGTTGTCAAATCAATCACAACAAAATCTTCATCACTTCCCATCAATCCTCCCCTCATGAAAGCTAGCTGAGGATCTTGTGGAGAAGAATTCGGGGCGGTAAGCATATCAACCGGAACCCGGGTTCTCCCAGAAATGTTTGTTCTGCAGAGAGGACAACTGGTATTGCTCTGTAACCACAGATCAATACAATCCAGATGGAAAGCATGGCTGCATTTGGGAAGAAGTCTCAGCATATCTTGATCTTGAAACTCAGCCAAACAAACCACACATTCAAAATGGCTGCTGTTTTCATCCCCTTCAATTCTTTGATACTTGAATGTGGGGATTTCCCGGATCAGCACTTCATCAAGGCCTCTTCTCTGCGCCAAATTGGGAGAATAGGCCATCAAGAAGTCCTGATCAGCCGGCCTAGTTCGCCGGAAAGAAAACCGCCTTAATGGGTCGAGTTGTTGCCAGCTGAAACAGCATTTGGTAACAAAGATGTAATAGCTGACTAATAAGAAAGTTGCAGCCATGATGCCTAATACAGCAATGGCCAATATTGGGAAACCATTGCTGGAAGAAACTGGCTGCAATGGAGGTTGATTACCACTTGATGCTGCTGACTCCTGATTCTGGGATTCATGGATGTAGTAGTAGATGTGTTCCTGTAAATGTAATCTCTCCATGAAGAAGGAAAATCTCAAAGAAACAAAAAAATGAAGAATGGATGTCAGCAAGATCGGAAATGAGGGGAAAAAAATGCTTGAGTTTTTGAAGTGAGAAGATCAAATTCAAAACTCAAAAGTGAAGAAAGAACACTAGAACAAATGGGAGCTGATCGAGGAAAAATGGTTAAGAAATGACTTTGGCATTGAATGGAAGATTATTTTAAAAGAAAAAAGCACGAAGTGCTTGAAGATGCTTAGACATGAAGAAGGAAATTCGGAGAAATGAACACACACAAAAAAGAAAACTCAAGTTGACTTTCAAATCAAACAGCAGAGGTTCTGACACAGGCATTATTCTTTTCACTTATATATCCATCCAATCATCAAACATGTGAAAGGAGACATGTAAACTATGTAAAGTCTGTAACTGAGCGTTAGAGTTTGGTGACTTGGGCTACATATCACGATAAATTAGGCTAGTGTTTAGCTACTCGAAGAATTAAATTATCAAAGGTGAGTCGTGGTTTGTTTTTTCCTGATTAGCTTTATTGGGAAAATCTTTATCGGTCGATATTCGAAATCATTGTTTTGATTAATATAAATTGATAAGAGGATTGGACCATTTTGTTTTTGGCAGGTGGTCCTTGCGGTTGGGGAGTGTACAAAATGCGCCATTTCTTGTCCAAGTTGATTTCTTGTTTTGGCAAGGAGCGTTTGGTTAATACGCGTAAATTGGCTGTTAATTGCTTGAAATTGTGAAACCATTATTAGGGAGCAAGCCGATTATGGTTTGATACTTTATTTCCTTATGATTTCGACTTTCCTCCTGTTACATTCCTGCACCGATTTCTTGGAAAAAATATCGTTCCTACCTAAAATTTTGCCCTCGTCTTCAATCATACCCAATAGATTTTTAGTTAGTCAACTTTATCCTAATTTTCGCTAATTTCGTCCAATCGGTCCATTTTCCATCCAAATTAACGGATCTCCGTTAGTTTTTTAATAAAATAATAAATTTAATTACAAAAACACCCCAGTAGTTTGTACAAATTTTAAAAATAATCCCTAAAATATATAAAAATAACAAAATTGTTCCTTTTCACTTTTTTATTTCATTTTCTCTATTTTGTTCCATTTCTCTCAACTACTTTTAATGACCATAAAAATATATTATATGAGTTTTTTTAAAAAAATATTTATTTATTTTCAAACTCTACCGTAAAAATTAATCTTTGTTGTAACCCATGATTGTATTTCTATAAGCATGTTAATTTTTTTAATAATATATTTTAGCAATACAGACACTATTTTTCTGATTTATTTTATTTTTCCTAACGTAAAGATTAAAAATATTTAAATGACACTAATATTTCACATAATAAAATATTAGCTCAAATAAAAAATATTTATTTTAGTATAATAAAATTTAACTCAAGAGACTATAACTTGCAGTAATATACTTCATAAAAAAATAAATAAAATATAAAATAATTAAGACACTATTTTTCTGATTTATTTTATTCTTCCTAACATAAAGATTAAAAACATCTAAATGAAACTAATATTTCACATAAAAATAAAATATTAGCTCAAATAAAAAATTATTAAGATATTTTAGTGTATTACAATTTAACTCAAGAGACTATAGCTTGCATTAATATAATTCATAATAAAATAACTAAAATATAAAATAATTAAAATCTTGAAACAAATCCTCCATACATAAGTTTTCCTTCTTGAATCTAAAACCTATTTTCTATGACAACATCTTATTATCATATTTTTACCTCCATTCATTTATTTTAAACTAAAATCATATAGAATAAGCTAGAAAGACTTCCTCTTAGTTAAACATATTAACATCTCAAATAATTATTACAAAATATTAAACCCTCGCATTGATAAGTATAAACATATTTTTTATAAATTATATTATGCCATGTAGTCTCTCTAGTTAAATTGTAATACACCAAACTATACTGATATATTAATTTTTATTTTAGCTAATATTTTATTTTTATGTGGAATATTTTTTCTTTTAAATGTTTTTAATCTTTACGTTAGGAAGAACAAAATAAATAAAAAAATAGTATCTTTATTGCTAAACTATATTATTGAAAAAATTAACATGCTTATAGAAATACAATCATGGGTTACAACTATACAAAGATTAACTTTTACAGTAGATTTTAGAAATAAATAAATATTTTTTTAAAACTGATATAATATATTTTTATGGTCATTAAAAGTAGTTGAGAGAAATGGAACAAAATAGAGAAAATGAAATAAAAAAGTGAAAAGGGACTATTTTGTTATTTTTATATATTTTAGGGGTTATTTTAAAATTTTTACAAACTACTGGGGTGTTTTTGTATTTAAATTTATTATTTTATTAAAAATCTAACGGAGATCCGTTAATTTGGAAGGAAAATAGGCCGATTGGACAAAATTGGCGAAAATTTCAAACATTAGGGTAAAGTTGACTGACCGAAAATCTATTAGGTATGATTGACGACGAGGGCAAAACTTTGGGTAGGAACGACATTTTTTCCCCGATTTCTTTATAGACCAAAACAATCATGCAACAACTTACAACCTATCCTATGCTAACAAATTGCAATTCTTCGAACTAGAGACATTCATGCACATACAGAACTTCATGCACTTCTTTATCCAAAAAAAACTCCATGCAACTAATTTTGAATATTATTAAATTTCTTACCACATTTCTGCATTTCTAAAAGAAAATTTACATTTTTTTCATACATTTTCACATTTCTAAATTTCCAAAGTAGTTCTATCATTATCAATTCATTGAATTGAGCAAGAACACGGGGAAAAAAATTGCAAAATTGCAAAATAAAATACTAACACAGAGTCCAGAGTCCAGACAGACCCTTTTCAGCACTCGGCCTGTTGTTCCATTAAGTTTGACATCAAGTCCGGCTGGCCCATTTTCGAGCATAAATTTCATTTTACCACTTCAACTAATAAGACTCAAGGGAATGATTAAGGGCTTCCATTACATGGGGGAATCTATATGATAACCACTAAAGCCCGAGATATATATTATAAAGTTATAGTTGCACAATGTAATTTGGATCCGAAACAAGTCAAAGCCCAAAGCGAAGGAGATCAATTAATACTACGTCCCCCAAAAAAATAATAATTCACTTTGAGTTTTAAATTTTATATTATTTTCAGACAAATTTAAAAATTTAATATAGACTTTTTTTTTTTGAGATGAAGGGAGTAATATTTATTTATTAGAAGAACTCAAAATTTGTATCACTTGTTTGTTATTTTGTTAAACTAAAACCGTACGAGAGATTGAACCATTTTCTGAAACGCTCTTTATGCATGTGTTTAAAAAGTAAATATCCCTTGAGTCAACCTTAGAAAAATGACATTATATAGAGGGGTTGTTATTTTAATTTGGGATGAAGGATGCATGAAATGACAAGCTTTACAGACACCATATCTTAAGTTTGGATCTCCATTTTTTTCACTCTAATAATGAAACATAGATAATATTCTTTTCCCCGTCTTCCATTTTATTAATAAGCATGATTTTTTATTTTATTTTATTTTATAACCCGTAAATGATGGGGAAAAAAAAAATACTAACAACTTACATGATATGCTTCCAATTTCCATTCACTGAGAACTGAGAAGCAAAACGTGAAGCCAACTGTGACTCATTTGACTTGCTTTTCCAGGGAGTGGATACATTTTAATTAATAATATCCTACATAATCAAATCATGATTGATCTTTTTTTCTTTTTTTTTTGCCCTTAACCCAACCAATACTAGTTTAAGGTTTTCATAATTCGCTTTTAAATCAGTAGTCCAGCATAATGAGTGTTATTCGAGTGCTGAAATAGACCATATATACATATTAAATTCGTCCCAGATTCAATCAATCATGCCTCGAACACAACACTCAATTTTTTAATGGAGAAAAGTAGTAATTCAATTAACTGACCCACCTCTCTCATCCGTCCCAAAGCAAAAATTTTGTTTATTTTCTCTTTAATATAGTACTCCCTCCGTCCCATAATTATTGTCCATTTTGCCCAAAAAAATTTGTCCCAAAATTATTGTCCAATTTGACTTTTTATGGATCAAGTTACACATTTGTCCTCCGTAAAAAACCTTATCCATAAAATCTTAGTGGTTAAACAATTACTTATGTAGGGGTATATCCGGTTATTTAAGGTAAAATATAGTTAAGTTTGACCAAAAATAAAATCTTTCATTTTAGTAAAACTGGACAATAATTATGGGACGGAGGGAGTATTTTTTTTATAGCAGATGATTTGCAAAAACTGTTTTTATTGTGATGGAAATGACAATTGGCAACTGAATAAAATGAAAACACATAAATAAAAAAGCTTGGAGCTGAATATTAAGCCGAACGTCTATTGGCAAAAAGAGACAATGGCCGGCCGGTTTACCCACTTGACGGTCATAGATCTCGAGCTAATTAAACTTTTGGTTGTATTATCATGTATGAAACTCCGCAATAAAAATATACTGACACGGAACAATGGAAATGTTCTTCAATTATCCTTTGGCATGCATGTTACTACTATCTACGAGCGATGTGATAGAGGAATTTGTAGTATTCAATATCTTATATTATCGTACCCAATCATTATTTTTATCATTACTCTTTTAATTTGACGTCATCCATGACCTCTCATTGTACGTGTAACCAAATTTATAAATCTCTTACCCAATTGGTGTGTTTGGAATATTTCCTGTTATTGAAAAAGTCAAATGCAAAGATCTGTGACCGGGTTAAATATAATTATTAACTCCAACTGGCCTATATACACCATAGTTAGTTAGATGGCATAAGTTAAGGAGAAGTTAGCTAGCTAGTAATAAATTAAATAAGTTAATGATAGTATTAGGATATAAACGAGCTAGCTCCTCATTAAATACTCACTAAATTGACAGTTGACCTAGATATATATATATATATATATATATATATATATATATATATATATAGATCCATGTCCATCAACCCTTCTCTTGTAAATTTCATTATTAGCTTAATTAGAATAGTTTTAGCTCTACTGCATGCAAATCATTGTCAACTAAATCAAATTTTTTTTGCTCATGGGAGAAGAAGAAGAGCAAGTTTTAAGATGGTTCAACGTGGAATCAGTTCCAGCTGATTACAGGTTTTCAATGGAGAATCGTCCAGGACAGCTTCCCATCCCAATATGCGAGACAATCCCAGTTATTGACCTCCAAAAAGCAGCTGATTCTTCATCAACTTCAGATAAGCTATCCATAATCCAACAGATTATAGAAGCCAGTCAAGAATACGGCTTGTTCCAGGTAGGTCAAAAAAAAAAAAAAAATCAAATACAGTTAATTAATTTTGATATTCTCTGATGATCTTTTACATCTTCCGATCGGGCAGGTGATCAACCATGGAGTTTCAGGAAACGCTGTGAAGGAGTTATTAAGTTTGTATAGAGACTTTTTCAAGATGCCGATTGAGGACAAGAAGTGTAGTACTGATAATATGAATATTGATGCATTATTTGGAGGATCACAAGGGTGGATCTACAAGAACAGTACTGATTTTGCTAAAGACGGGATTCATTTGTGGAGGGATAGCATCAAACACAACTGTTATCCTATCCAAGATTCCATGCAACGTTGGCCAACTAAACCAACCCGCTACAGGTAATAACATGTCCCGTCCCAAAATAATAATCATGTTTATTAATTGGACTGAATAAACTGAATCAATACTTAATTTTAATTTTTGCAGAGAGGTGCTTTCCAGATACTTGGAAGAAATGGAGGTGCTGAGTGGGAGGATTCTGGAGATGATTAACCAAGGATTAGGACTTGAAGAAGGTTACTTGAGAGAAATGAGCCAAGTTCAACATTTGGTGGCAAACTACTATCCGCCTTGCCCCGACCCGACGTTGACTTTGGGGTTGTTGAAGCACTGCGATCCGAGCCTAATAACCATTCTGGTTCAAGATGGAAATGCTTGTGGGCTTCAGGTGGTCAACCACAACAATGGCCAGTGGATGGGGGTTTCCCCTCTCCCTAATGCCCTTATTGTCAACATCGGTAACCAGCTGTCGGTACGTATCTTTAATTAATTTCGGGTATTGTTTATTCATCCCCCTCCAATTTTATTTTAATCACTTTTGTATAGACCAAAAAAAGGGCACCTTAATTTTAATAATGCATGATTGGGAAACAATGGCGTTACTTTTGTTGGAACAAAATACATATATACACATATGTATTATACATAATTATATATGTATACTCCATTATCTGTCACAAATAGATAATCTATATAGTTCATAATTGTGTTTTATAATTTATACAAAAAACAGTACAAATCTGAAAATTCAGCGGGCAACTAAGAGTTTCCAAAAGCGGGTTGGAATTTGGTTGGGACTAATCAATTTTTATTTTTTATTTTTTGTATTGTTGTACGGTGTGGTAGAACTATGTATAATGTTATTCCTAGAGGCAAAAACTTTAGTGATCACTAGACTAGATTAAGGAATTAAGAGGGCCTTTATTTTGTAATCTTATTTTTATATACTGATTTTGGTTAGATCGTCAGCAATGGGAAATTGAAGAGTCCGGAGCATCGAGCGGTGAATTCGAAAGAAACAAGGACGAGCATTGCAATCTTCGTCAATCCATCGCCTAACAGCAGAGTTGAACCTGCAAAAGCTTTGGTGGATGAATTCAATCCTCCTAGATATTCTCCCACCTTGTACAAAGACTTCCTTTGCTCTCCCAAAGCTTACGTCCTTCCTTCCTAGCTAGCTACTTAAATATTAAATCCATCCATAGCTATACCTTTCTTTTTTCCATTTTTTTTTTAATTTTTTTTTTTTACTGAAGTACAAAATATTATGTACCAAAAAAAAAAAAAAAGAGGTACAAATTGTCAATGGATGAGCACAATTTGGAGCAGTAAAGATTCGCAAAGCGGTGAAAAAATTGAAAGCTAGGAGAAAATTAACCCGTTCCAAGAAAATAATCATGTTAACTAATTATAGGACTAAAATAATTTAAGAAACAAATATATACTTTAATTTTGATGTGTCGGAATACAATCTTTGGTCGTGTTTATTTGATTCGAAGCCGGCAACATCAACCATCAACAGTGAACACGCCGTAACAAAGTACTCATGTGAATTGGAGGTTTCTGGGTTGGAAACGTATTCTCATGCAATGGCTACATGATTTTATCTTTCTTTTTTAGTATAAGAGTGTTCTTAGACACGTTTTCTTATTGTACTCGTTTCGACTACGACGACTTAACAAAAAAATAGGTTGGCCGGGGTGGAATTAAAAGGAAGGAAACAAACACAGATTTGGGTCGTTGAATTAGAAATACACCCTAATCATGGTCATTGAGGCTATTGACAATATCCAAAGGGTTTGGATATTTTGGGCATGCATCCGTGGATTCACACTTGATTTATCTTTGGTTTTTTCTTAGGTAAGGTGGGGATTAATTAGTGGATAAAGATTGCGTACACTTTGAGGTTTTTGTGTGGTTTAGTTGTTGTATTAGCACAATTCAATGTATCCACATTATTTGTCTACTTATGTAAACCAATTCAGTAGCCATCATATTGTACAAATGCTGCCCAAGAATATGTTTGTATAATGTTTACTACCAAAAATAATTGAGACAGTCACTATATTGTAAATAAATAAAAAATAACGCCGCAACAACAATTACAAAAAATAATACTATAGTGTTTGTGCGATTAGTTGTGTTTACCATTTACTCTTTAATGTCTTATTCGATTTTTATTAATGTTCACCCTATCAAAAGTAATATCGATCCTTGCAAAGTTATGCCTCAAATTCATACATTCATGATCTCCAATACAAACTTGTGAAATTCTTTTGTCCAAAATATCCTTTTGTTTGAATTTTTATTTTTAGTATATGAGAAAAATTCAAGTTCGACGATCATCTCGAAAAAAAAAAAGAAAGAAAATTGTAACTCTTTCAGTATGGAAGGCAATAATGGAAGAAGTCTTTGGTGACCTTATGACAAAGGGTTTCTAATGAACAACCACCTTGTTTAGTTGGGGGAAAAAACAAGTATCCACCATCTTTCCTTCTTATTTTTGCATACAGAAATAGCGAGATGGTGGACTTATATTGAGAGTAAAGATCTTATGAGGAGGATTTGTTTTTATTTTTATAATTATAATAAGGTTTTCATTATCTGTGTTTTTTCATCCAATTGGAAACTCTAACTTCGGAATCCCCGAATCAGAAACAAAGATGGATTGATTGACTTTTAATTTATCTTGTTGTTCATTCCTACTTCTGATTAGACTTTAACCCAATATTTTCAAATAATTTATGAATATGGAGTTTGATGCTGTCGAATCAAAATGTAAAATCAATATCATTTTCGTGACAATGCCAAACTCAAAAAAAAATAAATAAAAACAATGGTTTCCTTAATTCCTTCCATTATCCTTAATCCCACGTCAAATCTAATACTACTAGTACTATATATTCAAAGGTAAAACTGCACGTTCCTGAGCAACTTGTTTGACTCGACTAATTGTTTTACACTATCGTGTCAAAACTGAATTGGGAGTTGTTAATTATTCTCTCCGTCCCATAATTATTATCCAGTTTAAATTTTTATTTTTAGTTCAAATTGTACTAAAAGTGAAATCTCAAACTGGACAATAGTTTTACGACAGGGGGAGTACTTCTTAATTAGTCTTTAAAAAGTTAATTTAGCTAAATGGTGATTCGTACAGTGATTAATATTCAGTGGGGAGCAACCTTGTCCCGCTACTTGATTACTGATTACCACCCTTAATTACCTATTGTCTTTGGTAATTAAAGTGCTTAGTTTAGGTTATTTTTTCGTCTAGGTGAAATGGACCGAAGCCATTATTGATTTTTATGTACCAGACATCATTTCGTTATCTTAATTGTCATTTTTATTGTACAATATATACAACGAATTTTATATATTATTATTACCTCGCATGCTATACTCAGCGAACATTTCTTACAGCATTTTCGTTAGAACTTAGTAAACAAACACTGAAAGAAAAAAAAAAGGGTTTCTTTATAAAGTTTGGAAAATGGACGAAACATGTCATCATCTCTTTTTTTTTTTTCCTTAAAGGGAAAAAAACAATTGAGATTTTCTTTTTGGAGACTTCGTTAATGAGCTAAACTGGATCGAACCCAAAATATTTTTGGGCCCTTTCCGGAAGTAGTCTGCAATAACTTGATTAACGTGGGCCGCTGATTCTGTCCACCTCGATTTGGATTCAATTGAATATGCACTAATACAAATGTTCACGGTCAAAAAACCGCGCTAAATCCTTCCCGCGAAAACACTTGGCGCCAATCTGACATGGCAGCCAGACACGCCAGCATCCATCTCAGCTTTCGCGCCAAAAACCCTAGCAATATCAAGCCTCCTTACCCTCACTAGAATCCATACCTCACCCCCAATTTTTCAATTCAGTGGATCCGCACTATTTCTCTGCAATGGAGTCCACTGATTTCTCATCCGTTGAATCATCCAAGAACAAGAAGAATTCGCCCTGTGATTCAACGCCATTATCATCGCCGCTTAAGCTCAAGAAACATGCCCCTTCACAGCAACCCAATCCGGATCCATGGAGCTCCAAAACACCAGAAAAGTCCGCCATTGCTCCTCGGCGCTTAAGGAATCGTGGTTCTGCACTCTCCTTGAAGGAGGTAAAGGAGGCTGCCCAAAGGCTTCGGCAAAACCGTTCAGATCCGAACGAAGGCAGACCCGACCCGCTCATGAGCGCCGCTCTGGAGCAGATTCCCCTCTGGCCAGAGTCTTCTCCCGCCAAATCAAAGAAGTCCGATGGCTCGATTAAACTCCCAGAGAGGTAATTCCTCAATGTAGAATTTTATTGTTAGGTATTTTTGCAATCAAAAGTTTCCTTCTCTGTACTGAGTATCGGAATCTCACGTAGGTATGAAATACTGGATAAGTTTTTTAGTAGTTTGGATAGCTCAATCCGGCTTCTTCGGATCAAGGGCTCAGCGACGACGTTTACCAACATCAGTCCCAAAATAGAGTGTTTAACTGATAGGTAAGATGATCTCATCCTCTCACAGAATGATTAGTAGTTTTTGTATGATGAGTACAATTTTGGTTTTTGTCTGATTTTGGGATTTTTTTTTTTGTTTTAGGAGGTTCACTCATAGTCATTTGGCTCAGTTGAAGTTTATTTTGCCTGAGGCAATTGAGTTAAAGAAGATTTTGGTACATGATGAACGCACTAGCTGTATGAAGCCTGATCTTTATGTTTCTTTAAACATTCAAGCAATTCAGAATAGTGGGAAAGTGCAATCAGAAAGTGGCAATCTTGAGCTAAGGAAAGTTTTCCACTCAAAGCTTTTGGATTTCCTAAAAGCTCATCCTGAGGTAACCACTCTCCTCTTATTTGTGATTTGAAGCCCTTTGTGTATGGCTGTATGCAGCTGTTCTTTAATTATGTTTCTCTGATTTGAAACATTTGGTAGTTGATGGAGTTCATTGTGTAATGACTGTTGGAGGTTTTGTATGTGTTGGTAGTAGAAAAAAAAATGGTCAAATCAATCTTGAGTTTAAGTGTTTACTTGTGTTATCTTTGTTCCCTGCAATGTGATGCGTTCAGAATTACACATCCGCTCTAAGCTTATGTTTTATCTTGGAATGAAATGTGGAGGAAGATATTTACCTGAAATGAACAATGCCAACTTGCACAGTATTGTAATTTAGAATTACCTCTGTACAGCAACATTGACATTTCCGCTTTTTGTTACAGGGTGATGAAATTCCGGAGGGAGATCTTCCAGAACCATTCAATCGGTCAAAGAAAGATATTCAAACTAACTTATTGACAGCTCCGGACTCATCTGTGGTTGGTAATGCTCCAACTGTTGCTTCCTTGGACCAGCTGCCGGCTGCTGCATCCCATTTTGCTCGGTCATTTGCAAGACGCTTTTCACAACAAGGTTCTTGTATTGGAACTCGACAATTGAAGCCACAGGAAAATGATGCTGCTGGACATGCTTCTTCTGTTCTTCCAGTTTCTGAACCCAAAATAATTGCAGAGAGCAGAAGTCACATTTCTCCTTCTTCAACTCCTATGAGATTATCTTCCAAGGACAGAAGAGGTGATTTAGCATTGTCGCCTGATACGGCCTATTCAACTAGAAACCTACCTTCGCCACCCCCAGCAACCCCAATAAAAGAGTGTTTGTCCGAAGAAACTGCTGCTTCTCAACAAACACCTTCGCAATGCGCCTCTACTCCTGCAAAACTAATGAGTAACACACCTGTGCTTCAACCCCCCAAGAGATGTTATATGAGCCCAGATGATGATTCTATTCAACCGACAAACAAGCTGACAAGGCGCCCATCGCGCAGCAGATCATTGAAATTTGACACTCCGGTGAAGAAAGCAAAAGTAGAGGATGATATCCAGGAAAGTGAATTTTCAGAAGTTGATGGTGACATCCTTGACATTCTTCCGGAGAACCTTATACAATCGGTAAATACTTAAATAGGCTAAAGACCATTATTAATTATTTCAAGATGTGTCAATTTTGTGGGAAAAAATGAATTCCAGAACTCCCCAGTTACAGCCCTGGACTTTGGGAAATAACAGATAATTATCCTTGCAGATCAGGGAGAAAGAGAGGAAGGCATTACTAGATCAAGATCCAGCCATCTCACAGGCAAAATGGCGACACCAGATGCTCGCCAGCTTACCAAAGCTATTTGACACGATATACTTTTTATTTCAGTCAATCAGGCGTTCGGTGATTACAAAAGAAGAGCTTTTGCATAAACTAGTTTCCGGCCAACTAAATATAGTCGATAGAAGTAAGCCCTTATCTTCATCTTCGAAATCTGCATTCTTAATTTCACAGTTCCATTTCATCTGATTTTCATCCATAAAATGTTGCAGGAGAAGTCGAAGAGCAACTAAGGCTGTTGCAAGAACTAGTTCCCGAATGGATTTATGAGAAGGCATCATCTAGTGGTGATATACTCTTGTGGTAAGCCTACGATGTCCATTTAGATGATTTGTTAATGCGTTCAGTGTGCTTACTATACGCTTTTTGCTGGTGATTCATGCGGATCAGTTCCATTGTATTAATGATTTTGTTATAATTCCAGTGTGAACAAGATACCAAGTGCAGAATTAGTACGCAACAGACTTGCTGAAGCAAAGTAATAGGGTTATTAACTATACTTGAGCTCAAGTTGACCAAGAAAGATTGCACATTCGTTGTCTTCTGATCTCTTTGTAGGCCAGTTGATGTAGTGGGGTCTTTTGCTTTTTCCTCAACCCCTTTATGTATTATCCTCTGAGTTGCTTAATCTGATCAAGATTGTTGTGGTTCCAGCTCTATAGGCAAATACAAAGAAGAGCATTCACTTCGCCTCAAGTAAACAGTGCCCAATGTACAGGTTTTCACTCTAATAAAAAAGAATGTAACTTTATCTTTCTAAACCTATGCTTCATAGCTCTCGCACTAGATTTTGGAGTTATTAGTGGTTGTTGGTGTTGTAAATAGCTAGATATTCTTGACAAGGGCTCTAATAGGAGGACAAGAAGCTTTTTTGTTTGGCCTGATGAAATCTTATTGCTGTCGTTTTAAGGTTGGGTTTATCCCTTGATAATTTACTAAGCTCGGGACAAGCTTATGCATCGGTTGACAGAATCCATGTCGTCTTATATTGATCTCAGTATTCTGCTATTACAGTATTCATTTCTTCTTTAAGCTTGGACCTGGCAAACAACAAGATCAGGTCAAAATGGGGGCCAGTTGTAGGGCAAGTATTTTTCTGGGTACTGGACTTTGTTGGCTCCATTGTAAAAATATGGCATGCTGATGCTGTGTAAAAAGTCAACTGTCAAGTTGATATTGATTCTTGAAGCAATCGCCTGCCTTTTGTTTCTTCATTCATTTCTTGTTCGTTATCTTTGGTAATTTCGGGGCACGGTATCTTAAGTAAGCAAACTGCTGCATTGTCTGTAGTACTAATGAGTTAATGACTTAGGCAAAATACTTTCAGTATGCCGGCACTTGTAAATTCAACCGTCTTCACAAACTGATCCAGACTGTTTTGTTTTCACTACCTTCTTACTGGCTGAAGAATTATTAGTATCAAATGGATATTCTGTTTGCAACCTAAAGAACAGAGAATCAATAGCATTCTGATACCAAAGAGACCATATCGAAGTTTTGGAATCAAAGAAAATGGAGATGCAGATGAAGCAATTCAGGACACCCCAATATCCATCAACTCAGAAAGCTCACTACTGGGATATTCATGAACCTCAACAGTTCAGCACACCTCAGCACCCAACCATGGCAGCAAACAAATGGGATGGTACTCAATCTCTCCGTTTCGATTATGGCACAGCAAACCATTGGGTAGGGGCAGATTCTCTTCGTTATGATTACGCCACACCCCAGCCTGAATTTCTGGGAGGACATGAATACTGGGAAGATGATCTACCATCCGAGGGCGGGTCTCCACGAAGCACAGCTGCCAGAAACTACTGGGGCAACGTTGATGGAAGACGGCATTTTGGAACACCGCTCAGCCCGGCAGCTTTTCGAACAAAGAAGACTCCTGAACGTGATCTAATCCCGAAATCCATCAGGACTCCTGAACATCCAGCAGCAAATGGAAAGAATGTGTGGGGAACCCCTGATAGAATCAGGCAATTTGGGACACCCCAACATCCGAGTGCATTCAAGGAATTCAGAACACCGCAACATCCGTCTCAGGGGACTAATAACTGGGGCGGAGCTTCTCCATTGTTAGCTAGGAATATACCCCAAGAGTCCCTTGATAAAAGGTACGAAAGGCTAAATACCATAAGAACTCAGGATGCGATTTTTTCATCAGTGGAGGAAGATGACAACTATCATAATTCCTCTTCAGGAACGGAAGCTAGATACAGAGGACATGAAATCATTAACCCGAACCCGGATCCAATTCCAACTTCAAATGCAACAAAGCGTCCTCGGGGATTGCTGTGGAAGTGGATGAAGAAGAAGGAGCAGGATCCGAAAGTACAGGGTAATCCATCCAAGAAGAAAAAGAAATGGTTCCGGAGATTTGACGTACGGAAGAGATGGCCAACTGGTTGGTACTGAACTACTGATCACATTATTACAGTCTCGTAAACTTCCTTATATTAATTTCCATGTGAAGTTGAGTTAGAATTTGTTATTAGTAAACGATGTTGTTTATCAATTCCCAAAGCTGCTTATGTCAAAAGACAGAATGAATTAATGCAGCAATCTGTGCTTTTGTTACACTTATGATCCCTTTTGCTGTATGGTCATCTTTTTTTGCTTTTTATGGTCGACTTAGTGAACTGCAAATGTTGAAGCTCTACCAGCAAAAGAATTCATGAATAGAAACAACATCCGATTGAAATTATAGAAATTTACAAAAATAATTTCAAGAAAGGACACATGCTAGTAGTATTTTCTTATCACCTACTACCATTCTATTTGGAAAATTGCAATAGTGAATTGTAATCCCAAAAAGGTGAGGCTCAGAGATTCAACATTTAATCCAACATGTAGAACTCCTTCCTTTGATTCTCAAAGTTTAAACTTTGGTTTCCTTTTGGGACCTTTGTTGTTTTATGGCGGAGAGATGAGATATTGAATGACAATGCAATGTTGTTACTTTGGATACTTTTCACCAAATTGACCAAAAAAATTAAAAATTGTATTCGAGAATTATAAATGTTTTGAGAATATTAGATAATTGAACAAAAGAAATATGATAACGAGAATAGTTCCGATGAATGTACCAACTGGCTTGAATTGCCAGTGACTATCAGTCAAGCGCAACTGGACGATTTCTAGCAGTTTTAATGAAATTTTCTCTTTTACCTTATAATAAAAAAAAAAAAGAAGAAGGAGATTTGGACGTTGGAGGGATATTGGCGCTGTTGTTAAAACAATAGTGGAGCCACCCGCAATTAAAACAAATATTGAGGGAGTTATTTGTAATTAAAGAAAGCAAATAACCTAGTACCATCAAATTTTACTCTCTCTGGTATACTCACTTGTGAGTATCTGAACACTGTGAGCTGTCAACTCCGAAACTTTCCGGTCGTTTTGACCGTTGCATCGTCGGAGTTGATAAAGCCCTCCAAGACACCAGGTAAAACTAGAGTTCTAATCATGGTTATCAATATGGGCATGATTTCCCCCATTTTCTCCTCTTTTTTCTTCTCCTTTGCATCCGATATATCATCACTGTAGTAAAATGTTCGATTAAATTGTGCTCTTGGGTTAACCATGCTGGTTGATTTTTAGAATGTTTGTGTCTCTGTTTGTTCTAATTTTTCTTTCGAGTTATCTGATCGGTCTGTTGCTTTGCAAGTCTTCCAATTAGAGATGCAAACTATGGATTCAATCTTCGTCTCTTCTTTCTGTTAATTCATCTGGGATGTGTAATGGACTCGAATTTTCTATATAATTTTCGTGAAATAAATAGTTATTTAGATAGCAAACGTGTCCTAGAATTTCTAGTATCGTCAATTGGACGGTCAAGTCTAATTTCCCATAACAGTATGGTTAAAATAACATTGTTAAAATTAAGGTAATGGGGTTTTTAGCTAGTAATTCTTGTAGCTACTTTCTTGTGAGCATTGTTGGGTTGTATTTCAGTTTGGATTATTGAAATGGTGTTAGAAATAGTGATTTGATTCGGGGGAACTGCCATTAGGCAAGTAGCTCGTTACTACCTATTAGATGTCTTTTCCCATTGATTCTGATTTTTTCATTTTCTACTGATTTTAAAGAAATAATTCTGTTTGGAAATGGAGGCTTATGGCCAGAAAACAGAGAAAAAGTAAGATAGATGCTGGTTGTTCTTATTGTGTCATTTGTCATTAATTGCGTCCATAAGTGCTGAAGTTGCTAGTTGTCGTTGTTGCCATTAGGTGCTCTAGATAGAAAGATGAATTTGGGTGATCACATAAGATAAAGAAAGATGAATTTGGGTGATGATGTTCTGAGCTTGTTTTGATGGAGTCCATGGATGGGAAAGGGGAAGAAAAATACATTGAAGTATGTGATGTAGTTAAACCTTTAATTCCTGGGTGTTTCCTATGTTTAGTTGCTGAAAAGTGTTATTAGAATATGGAAGATGAATGATCGATGATCTGGAAGTAAAGGTTTGGTTTTGAAATGATTGCATGTGATCAAAATGAGACGATTATTTTGTTTTCTCTACAGAAAAATCAGATTTGAGTCCACCTGTTGAGAGGTTCGTTTCTCCTATTTCTCAAACCCTTTTCTAGGATTTCTTGATATGAATCTCTTCTATGTTTAATCAAGTTTTTATCTATAATTGGACTCCTGATTTGTCCGGAAATCTGATTTGAACAAGTCATGTCCACTTTATGTTACTGAAATTGCAGAAAAATCAGATCTGCGTCCTCTTGTTAACAGGCTTATTTCTCCTAGGTCTTGAATACTTTTCTTGAATTTCTTTGTAAGAAACTCTTCTACGTTTATTGTAATTTAATGCTGTTTTTACGGATTGCAAAACGGAGTTATGGATTGTACAAAAATTCAGTTTGAACAGGACATTTCCATCACTGAAAATCTGGAACTTTCTACCAGACAATCTGGTCTGAGCTTCTGTTTTGGAGATCCGTTTCTTCTGATTTCTGAACCTTCTTCTCTGAATTCTTTTCATGAAACTCATCCGTGTTTATGCTAGTTTAATATTTTCTTTACGCCTTGCTAATAGGATTAATGGTTTGCTCAAAAAATGTTCCTTGAATATGACCACTTAGTCACCTTAGTGCTGAAAATTGAAAACGGAAGATTATATGGGTTAACATTGAGGCCTCATTTCTCCTCGACCCAAACCCCTTTACTAATGGAGCTTTTTCGCTTTATTTCTCTGTCTGTCAAGGTGTATGATGTCGCCAATAGACCACAGAATGGTGTAGCAATGGTTTCATTTCATGTTAGAAAGCACCGTATCTTTTCAGAGAAAAATGCAATTTTTATTAGAATTAGAAAACAAGATTCGGGTGATTAATTTGTGAAACCATACTTCACTTCATTTAAACCAATAATATCAGTGTGACATGCTGTGGAGGGATGTTTTAAATTGATTAAATAGGGAATGTCTATTGTTCAAAATGATTATGGAACGAAATGCGGACTTTAGTTGAAGCTGGTGACTCTAGGCTTGAAGAAAATTTCTGTTGAATCGAGCACTGAAGTGAATTGTTTAGGTCACGAAAGAGCCAAATTGGTCCATAGAGTAGCTTATTGGCATTGCATCAAAATTGGCTGTTCATATCCTAATTTTACTTCTGTAACTCTCTGCTGGACAAGGCTTTGAGATTTCTTGATAAAGAGATGGTTTTGATTGAATTTTTTACTGGTGTATAGCTGGATCTCAAACATTTATTTACCAAGGGGGAAAGAAGATCCCACATTCCGGCTCTTGTAGCCCTTGGGGATCGAAAATGCAAACGGCTTGTCAATTTTACTCTGTTTTCTACTTCTCCAACAGGTAACCCCTCAATGTAGTTTTAAACTTAGCCTGCCTTGTTTATCTTTAATACTCATGAATCCACATACTTTTCTTCTTTCAAATTGGTTATATTTTTCATCCGTGATTGATACAGAAGCAACCCTCTTGGAATAGCTCATAGGACAAGAATAAAATCCTTGAGCCCAAGTCCACCTGCCAGAAAACTGGAATTTGCCACGGGATCTTGGACTTGTAAATTTCCGGGGCCAGTGCGACATAGCAGATTGCCAGTTATTCCCAATTCAAATGATGGTCACCCATGTGTCACTGTATCCGAAGATGATAAGAATACAACCCAAGCCTTAAATCATGAAGTGGCTTTTAATCATGAAGTGGAGACTTTTCTGAATAAATGGTCACCTCCCCGGTACTTGTGGAGAGGATTATCTGTTCTTATCTTGGCAGGGCAAGTAATTAGTAGAGTTATAAAGGGTAAAGTTCATTGGCGAAACACCCTTCAACAACTGGAAAGGGTAGGACCTAAATCTGTTGGTGTCTGCTTTTTAACTTCCGCGTTCGTGGGAATGGCTTTCACTATACAATTTGTCAGGGAGTTCACCAGGTTAGGGCTGAATAGAGCCGTTGGTGGAGTCTTAGCCCTTGCTTTTTCCCGAGAGCTGAGTCCTGTAGTTACATCAATCGTAGTTGCAGGTCGTATTGGAAGTGCATTTGCTGCGGAATTGGGCACAATGCAAGTCTCCGAGCAGACTGATACATTGAGGGTTCTTGGTGCAGACCCTGTTGATTATCTTGTTACGCCAAGAGTTATTGCTTCCTGTGTTGCGCTGCCAGTTTTAACCCTAATGTGCTTCACAGTGGGAATGGCTTCTAGTGCTTTACTTGCGGATAGTGTTTATGGTGTGGGGATAAATACAATCTTGGATTCGGCTCAACGAGCCCTTAGATCATGGGATATAGTTAGTGCTATGATCAAGTCTCAGGTTTTTGGTGGGATCATATCCATTGTTAGTTGTGCATGGGGAGTTACCACATCAGGCGGCGCCAAAGGAGTTGGAGAATCTACAACTTCTGCCGTTGTCATTTCTCTTGTTGGCATTTTCATTGCTGATTTCGCTCTATCGTATTGCTTCTTCCAAGGAGCTGGGGATTCACTGAAGAATCTATGACACAGTTCACTGAAGAGTTCTATAAATTTGGTGGGCTCTTTTTTGTAAAAGCAATTTTTCTTGGAACAAAGATGTTATTATGTTGTAGTTGAATGTTCTTTTTGTCATATACTGGCTGATGGCTGTTAATAGTTCTATTGGTGTTGGTCAATCTGAGAAATCAGGCATTTTACTGATGACTAGTGAACTACTCCTTTCCATGGTTATCCTATTAATTAATAATTTAATACAACAGACCAGATAATCAATTTGGGATGGAGGGAGTAATACATTTGAAAAAGTCTCAAATTTACTGAGCCAAATGTGTGATTTTCTTCTGTTTTGTTCCTTGAACTGTTGTATATTCTCCAGTTAGGACCTTTTTTCGGCTTCTGCAGAGATGAATAAGCACCAGTCGTATGCATTGCAGGAATTTGATTGTTTAAACTAGATTCTGCAAAGGTAATTAAGAACAACAATACATCACAGTACTTTGACATCCTCGGATACCTCTGCACTGTTGCATGCGTTAATCATTTCTAACTGAGATTCCTCTCACCTTCAAGACTTCAAGCAGCGCACCCACTCTAAATCCTCCCAAGTCAACAACACACACCAATTTGGAAAGTGCACTACCGCACACACTAAAATTTGTTTGGTATGCAAGTGTAACTTACACGATCCAAGTTATTGAACCAATACCTGTCAAGCGTCATGTTTAAATCCGTTCCAATATAAGAGCCGTGTTTGTTTTATTTGAGACGGTGTGAGTAAAATATAATGTTAGTAAGTTTTAAACAAAAAAAAAATACTATAATTATTCACTTGGATTATAATGGAAAATTTCCTCTTACACTGACCTTGACTCCTTGAGGGTTGAGGCAACTAAATAGTAGTAAATTGCGTCTTTGGATCCCCCATTTGACTTCGAGTTATATAATTAGATCAACCATTGTGGGTTTGGAGTTGGACGTAATCGAAATCTTTTCGCCCTTATTTGTTTATTATAGGTCAGAATGGAATCTTGCTACTTTTGTGAAAAATCAGCCAAGTGGAAAGCACTGATATGAAACCTGAATAAAAAGAGAATATATAACACTAAACAGATAAGATAACAATATATGATTCATATAACCGATTCTAAAAGCAAACACAAAATAGATACATTTTAATTTGAACCCCTTCCTCGTTAATAAAAGCGAGAAAAAAAAAATGCACCTCGAGTATATTTAAAGTATTTCTGCCATTGGAGGCTGAGAAAATGCTTGTGCTTAATGAGAGTGTTTTCGCTTGTTTTGAGTATTGCGCACTGATTTTTTTCTTTTAAAAAAAGGGGTAAAGAAAAGAAGGCAAATACAATTGGAATTACAGCCAATTGAGTTCATAGACGTTAAGTTTGACTTTTGATCCACAGATCACAAAACAGTAGTCATGGAAATTAATAAAGAGAAAACAAGGTTACATTTCAAGATTACATGTTAGTAAAAAGTTGATCTACAAAATCTACTTTTACATTTCAAAAATGATTATGGTGCACAATTACATGTTGATACAAAAGAAAGGGTGAACACGTAAACAAATGGAAACATGATAAGTATGATATATTATTGTAAAAGTCATCTCCATCGGATCCAAGGAAACAAATCTAGAGAAGAAATTCATAATAGTGATATTCCCCACCAAAGTTCAGGTAAATTAACGAGTCATGTATGGATATTGTGAAAATTATGTTTATTTTTCTGATCGGCGAAGAAATACTTATTCTTAAGAAATCGATCTCAACAAATATTTACGTATTTTATTAGTATATGGACAGCTATACTCTTTCATTCCTCTTCTTCCGCGAACTAGATATTAAGCATGACATTTTGTTAATATGTACTCTCTCCGTCCCAAAATTATTGTCCAGTTTGAATTTTCATTTCTAGTTTAAATTGTACTAAAAGTAAAATTTCAAAGCGGACAATAATTTTGGGACGGAGGGAGTGCAGTTTCACCACTGACCTTATTGTACAAGTTAATTAGTGGCAATAACCGTAAATTCTTTGAATCTCGAGAGATGAATAATAATTTCTTCAAATATGAGGGAAGGTCGCGGCTATTAACCCATACTTATAAAAAGTGTGGAGCACCATCATTTTTTGTTGTTCAACAATTATGATGATTAGCAGCCATAACCATGCATACATATGACTTACCTCATATATATTCCAATATATGAGAATGAGACCACATTATGGATTCGCTCTCAATGGGTAATTGAATATGTTTCATTTTGGACGAAGAAAATGGGAAATTAGTCCATCATCATTCTTCTTTGTCTCCTTCTACAATGATAGTAACGAAATTTTATTCTTTCCTCTCGCGAATCAAATGTATTCTAAACAGATACACACAATATACGTTCAGATTAATTCTCATTTAACCATTATTTGTTTCTTTTAAGAATAATTGTATCACACCAACTTCTGTCTCAAGAATTACATTAAATTTCTTATCACTTGACCCTAACGATGATGGATAGTTCTTAGTAAACTCTTTATAAGGGTTATTTACTAGCTATCTCCACTTCCAGTTTCCTCTAATATTCAAATCCCGATAATTCTCTAGGCCAATGATTCATTTCAACTTTGATGATGACTGAAGTTTTGACGTCTAATTCATCTTTGTGAATAAATACAGATTATCATATGATTAATCTATCTATTACTTTTATCCCACTCCAAAGACAGTGAAACAGGCTACTGGTAAACTTCATTGACTGGTTGGCTGCGGTAAATAATGATTAGCAAGCTAGGAGAATAAACAAGGTTATGACCAAGATCAACGCAGAGATCCGACAAATTGAATCTTTTTTCTTCTTTTTTTTTGGAGGGTGAAAAGCAATAAATTAGGAGTGAAATGACTGATTAATTTTTTACAAACATATGTTATTATATCACTGTTTTTTCTTGTTTTTTTGTCCTATTATTCAGCTCAACATCATACCAGCCAACCCATCAAAACCTTTCTTTGCAAAAGTAAAAGTTAAAAGTTAGAGCAAAAAGAAAAGGGGAAAATTAAAAGAGAGACATGATTAGGAATTGATGAACATAATCCCCTGAGATTTCACTGTTCCGGTGAGGATCAGCAAATCTTGAGGGATGATGAACCTTTGGCCATACCCTAATCAACGCCTCTTGAAAACACCAAATGATGGACCTAGCTGGCTATAAATGTTTGTAATAAGTTTGATATAGGACAAAAAAGAAAAAAATGGAAAAGAAAGAATTAAAATATAATAAAATCTCTCTAAATTAATAGCCTTGGACCCCTAATTTATTAATTTATCGAGTTATTAATTTATTAATAAATTAATAATTATTAAATTAAAGAGTTTTTCAATCCTAATAGCAATCTTTGCCCTAAAGAAAAGAAAAGTCGATTATAAATATGGACTTCTAACTTTATTAATATGGTACTAGGGTTCTCTTTGTGTGGCTGCAAATTTTGAATCTCCTTTGTTATCATGACAAAATGGATGTTAATCGCTTGTTGGATTATCCAGGAGAAAATGATAAATTTATAGAGATAAAATCTTTTGAGAATATTGCAACTAGTGTCAGTGTCAATTCAACTCAAGATGAAGGTGAAGATGATTTATTCCTTTTGGAACTAATATCCAGAAATGAAGCACTAAAGGTAGTAGTAACTCTCTTCATAATTTTTTGTTGCACTAAGACAAAATGACACCAAAACTTTTTACAATGAGAACGATAAAAAATGATATTTCCATAAATATAATTTTTTTTAAAAAAATTAATCTATAGATTTATATTTTACTAGAAATTATTAGTTTTTGTTTAGGTGATTATTAATTTATGAAAATGTGGGGACCTATATTTACATAAGGGATTCTTAAAAATTTATTATCTTATAAATTAATCGAGTTTTTTCATTTTTTGTACTGGTTCCGAGTCGGGACCAACAAAATTTATTATTTAATGGAGATTATAAATTTATAAAGGATTAATTTAGAGAGGTTTTACTGTAATAAAAAGAAGAAAGTGAATTTGTTTCGTGAAATAAAATGATAGTAGCCATGATAGAAATACATTAAAAGGGCCAAATATTGGAGCGCCGATAAGGCTATAACTACTATTGTCTATCAATTTCGATCCTTTTTAACTATTTTCTTCAACTTGTGACCCATATAAAACGATTTAAGTTGATCACTTTTGATGGTTGCATTATTTCTTTAACCCAGTCAGTTGCATGTCTTTGATGAGATTTTTCGTTGCAAAGGAAGCAAAGATTCATAATAGCTAAATTATTACTATATGCAAATAAATGATGTTCACAATGTCGTGTTTTAATTAATCACAGATATTAAAAAAAATTGTTACAAACAATAACAGTTAGAAAAAACATAAGTTTTTTTTTTTTTTTGGTGAAATACTTACGTTACACCTATTGTGACGCTAGTTAATGAATTATCGTATTTACGTACATTTCCTCGTTACATCATGTTCATACATCTTTCACTTCCCTGAGTCAATTTATTCTTTTTGATGATGGTTACTCCTACACAAAAGAAAAAAAAGAAAAAAAAAAAAAAAACACCAAGATGAGGCAGTTAGGTAAGGAGGCCAAAAAGCCAATGATAACGAAGAGCCGCTGCCATTGGCACTCAATGGCCGTCGGCTGAAAGGAGGAAGAAACTTATTAATGCCCAAAAGAATGAATGAAGGTTTTCCACTTGGAAACCATTAATTTCGAATATGGAGACACATATGGGGCTATGAAGGTGTGAAGATTGTCACTACTTTTAGCAGTAAAAATCATTCTGGGAAAGAGCCCTTTTTTGGTGCAGTGTTTTATGAATTGATCATTTTAGAAAGAAAGAAAAAAAAAAAAGAAAGGTGGGTTGGGGATTGGGGTGGAAGATCGATGATGATGGAAGGATAAGAAGCATTTTCTTCCCCACTTGAATCATAATGTTTGCCATACTAATAGACTATCCCAATTTCCCAATATATACACTCCAAAATGTCTCTCTCAATACAATATCAGTAAGAAAAATTGGTTCCACAAATATATCAAAAAAAAGACCTAAGTTTACTTTTCATTAAACTTATACATCACAATCACAATTGTTAAGTGGAAGCTGGTTTAATTTCCTCCCTCCATTACCAAAATCAGCTATTGTGGTGAAATTATTAAAAGTTTGCCCTTCATTGACACTATTTATTTTCTAATATAGTAGTATAGCTTCTTTATACATTTCTTTTTGTAAGAGAATCTTAACTGTGATTAGGAAATTGAGCCTTGGTAGAAATATACAACAATGATTCTAGAAATGATATTTATTGGAATAGTTTTACCTCCTGAAAGATACTTTACATGACTCGAACATAGATTAATTATTATTATTTTTTATAGTTTATAGGTCGATGTGATTCATGAAAAGTATAAATGGGGGAAAATGTATAAAAAAATAGGTAAAAAAAAAGTTCAGAGTACATAAACGTTACATTTTATTTATTTTAATTAGATGATCACAGTGAGAATTGGACCCTCGATCTCTTGATAATAACTATCCACATCCTAATCGCCTAAGCATCTCACCCAGCCCTTCCACCCCTACATAAATGGTGCATTATCTGTGTTATTTAAGAAAAAATGATAAGAGAAAAAAACGGATCTCTTACTTCCTATGTACTAGCTTGTTTGTTGCCATTGAATTATATATCTCGTTTACTTATACAATTTTATTTTGTTTGAGTAGTTTTCAACTCAAACAAATTTGGGGAATCAAGTTAATTAAAAAAAAAGAAATGTAATCAGAAATAAATTTAGTTTTAATTTGTAGACAGGAGGAATGACAATTTTTTTTTTTTTTTTTTATGTTAGATAAAAAACTCGGTAACCTTTGCCTTAATATTTGTCAATTATAAATAGGATGAAAGATAAGAACTCTTTGTACATACAAATGAAATGTCTTTTTTACTTTTTCGCCTTCAGCAAAAAGTGGGGAAAATTTATTAAGTACTGTGGTATTTGAATTTTTTTTTTTTTTTTTTATATTTACAGGGTGTCCACCGTCAGCAATAGTAACTAATCATTCTCGCTAAATTGTAGATACCTCAATGAGTGGGATAGCTCACTAAAATATTTAAGGTAATTCCATGTCCATAGCGAGATTCGAACCCTCATCTATAGTTAAGGGTGGAGGAATCCCTTCCACTCCACTACAATCACTTTAGTTTTCAAGCAGAGTGGTATGAATGGCAAGGAAAAAGTAACAGCTCTTTCAAGTTTTTTCATTACAAATGTTCGGCTACTTCCGGGCCGAGGGATGTTGGTGGGCCGGAGGCAAAAAAAAAAAAAGAAAAATGAACGCCTGAAGCGTAGGGACATAATAGTCATTACAGGTGCTCTTTCTGAGAATTCTGAGTGCCTGATTCTGTCGAACGGAAAAAAGAAAGAAGCTTTTTCTTTTCAGCTCTGTATATAAAAATGGAAGAAGGCTTACTTCAAACTGGAAAAAAGGCCACTGAGAGTTCCACACTTTCGAGTTTCAACCCACATGCTCACTTTCCTCTTCCTCTTTTACCAGTTTTCTTGTTCTTCCTAATTGCACTCCTTTTCAGGGCCATTTTCACACGTCTCAGTTTCTCTCAAAATATTTGATCTTGAAAATGGCGGTTAATGCTGTGTTCAAGCGCAGAAGGTATTCATCCCAGAAAGCTTATTGTTGAATTTGATTCTTCTCTGGAGAAGATACAAGGGGCATTTGTCGGAGTTGAGTTCTTTAATGTTATCTTGGCTATTTTAGGGTGTTCCAAGGTTAAGTGATTAACTATTTATTGACTTGAAGTGTCCTTGGTTTACAAGATCAATTTGGAATTCAGGTTATTTTAGTTTAGTATTATCTAGTTATGGACAGTTCTGTAGAGGGTTTTGTGGAATTGTTTACTTCAGCTTTCTTCATTGAATTCCTTGGTTTGTTTGGTGTTTGAGAAATTCATCAGCTGTTCTAGTGAGAACTTTTAGGTCTGGGGGGTCTGGTAGTTTTAGCGCGGAAGGAAATGAGGAAGGAAGATAGTCTGCTATTGCCAACAGTAGGACCGCCAATAAAGCGGAGAGCAGGATTGAGGAGGAAGCAGGCTGGAAGAGGATCTTACAGAGGGAGCTAGGTTATAGAAGGCAAGACAAAGAAATTGGGGTTTTTTTTCGGTTCAGGATTGTCATTTGTGAGGTGTAGGTTTGAGTATTGAGACAGGGGTGGGTGGATTAGGAAAATTTTGGTTGAATCGGGTAAAGCTATGGAGGGCCAACTGCACCGAGCTTTGAGGTGCTTGTGTTCTAACACCGGGTGGAAATATGCTGTTTTCTGGAGGCTCAAACATCGGGCACGAATGTAAGTCCTTTTGTTTTGGTGTCTTTTCAATGCTTTTGTGATACAACTAGACGCTAGAATGTAGCAATGGTTTATTTAGAATTCTGGATCTTTTGACATTTTGAAAACATGCTCTCAGTTGGTTTTGTTGGAACTGGAATTTGAGATCACTCATTAAATGTACTTGATTTTTCTTGGTGACCTACAAGTTGTGTTAGTCTTCATTTCATGTGATAAATCCAGCATTCGCAAAACATAGAGTTTCTCTATGACATTTGATGATCATTATGACTTGCTCCAGTTTTAAAGCATACGAATTTGTTTTTTTGAATTTATTGCAGTCTTCCACGCTGCGGAAGTTGCAGTTTCATTTTCAGTAATTCTTATATGTGAAATAGAGGGTAATTGGTGAGAACTTTCTGAAGAATGCTTCTTTTTAGCAGGTTCAGCATAGTCAGGTTCTTACATTTTCTAATTTGACGTGGTGCAGGATGTTGACTTGGGAGGACGGATATTATTACAATGGTGAGAACCAAGAGACAAAGTGCCCGAGTGGTTCTGCGAGTAACTTGCAGGTTGGGCAATGCTCACGAGATCCTCTTGGAATAGCTTTGGCGAAGATGTCTTACCATGTTTATTGCCTGGGGGAAGGGTATGAGGCTTGCAATCTTTTACTCTCCAAATTGTGATCCCTCTCTCTTTTTTTCATCCACACATGACTCTGAAATTAATACAGGAGGTCATCCTCAAATGAAACATTTATCTTACTTCTCTTTACAATAAGCTTTACTCTCCATTGGGCACTACATATAGGATGACAAGCCATATGTTTATTGCTTTTCGCTGTGAATCTTATACTTTTTTGTAATCCATAATTGGACAATATTCATATTTGGTGTCAGGGTTGTTGGGCGAGTTGCTGTTACAGGCCATCATATTTGGATTGCTACTGATAAACTAGCAGTTGGTCTTGGTGCTGAATTTGAGGTGAGGAATTAGTTGTGGAACACTTGTTTATGTGAGTTTATATTGATTGGATTTCTCCGATTCATTCATTTATTCTTTAATCATTTTCATATGGCTGTGACAGAATGATGGGTGGCAAGCACAGTTCTCAGCTGGAATCAGAGTAAGTAGTTCTTGTGTCCTGCATATGATTTTTCGCTTTATGGGATCACAGCTACTGTGAGCTTTAAATGCATGTTTAAATAAAGAAGAAATTATATTCTTATTTTAATTATTCAAAGAAGGTGTCTGAACACTAGTTGCTTCGAGTCTGCATATATATCAGTTGGCAAATCTGCTGTTTTGTGTAAATAAGACACAGGCTAGGATTGTGTACACATGTCCTGTAGTTTTATCCTTTCGAAGTTATATTCGAATTATTAAACGTTTATTCAAATCCAAAAGGATAAGAGAGATAGGGAGAGAGACATTTGGTTATAAGTTTTCATCTTTGCTTCATTTAATTGTCTTATGAGCTTAACAGCTTGCTGTTCTACTTGGATTAATGTTCCTTTTCTGTTTTCGGTTATTGTTCAGACCATTGCTGTTGTGCCTATTGTTCCTCATGGAGTTGTACAGCTTGGCTCTTTGGATAATGTAAGCTAAAATGGCAAATTGTTTTTATACCAAGTCCTCTGTTGTTACCATTTGTGCTAATTTCTCCTTTCGCTTTAATAATTTCAATTCGATCTTTACAGTGATGATTCAGTATTTGCGACATAAGCCATTAGTTGCCTAGGGTAATGTTGTCCTTTTTTTGTATTTGTGGTAAGCAGATTGCAGAGGATTTTGAACTGCTGAATCATATCAAGGATATTTTTTGTAAGCTGCTAAATTCTTGGGCTGGCGAGCCTTCATATCTGAAGCCTAGCTTCATGGGAAATTCTTCTCAGGTAATTCTTCTTCATCCAGCACATTTGCATACCATCACCATGGCGTTGTAACAAGAGTATAATTCTCTTGAGTGCTTATTCTTTGTCAGTCAGATGTAACAAGTGTGACTTGGGGGTCAGCGTTTCAGCATGATTGCTTACAGCATTTAGATAGGAACATCAATGTGGATGAAAAAAGTTCTTGGTCTTCTTCATATTCGTCTACTATGAAATCTGGTCATAGTTTTTGCAACGTGTCTTTACCTCAGAGCTATGAAAATAAAAGGGTGGATACAGTTGTTAAGCATGAAGAACTGCAGAACTCAGAATCACATACTGGTACAAGTGTTAATATGCCTATGCCAATATCTGAAAGTGGCTCAATGGAGAAGTTGAACCACGAGGAGTTGAGGACAAGTGGAGACACCAAGTTTGATGGACAAAATAGTGGTTCTGGAGCCCTGTCAAGGAGTTCAGGAAATAGGATTGAGTCATCGACAAACAACCTTTGCAGGAAAAACAATTTGGGTGATGGTGCTCCTTTTTCTGTGAATTCAGACGTAGAAATGTCTCACCATATTCCGGGAACCAGTTCTGCAGCTTTTAATGTGGAAGGAGGGACATTATCTGTACCCAAGCTCCCCTCTAAGCATCTGCATGAAGATCTTTCAGATACGATGCACATGCCTTTGAGGTTTTGTGCAGGTTATGAACTTCTTGAAGCACTGGGGCCTGCTTTCCAGAGACAAGACAGCCACTGTGAATGGGATGCAGAAAAAAATGAAACTATGATGGCCGTCGATGTTTCAGAAGGGGTGGGCAATAGCAGCTTGTTAACTGTGAACACTGGGTCTGAGTATCTTCTTGATGCAGTGATTGCTAATGTTCCCAGAAGTGATGGAAACAAAAGTGAGAAACCATTTTGCAAATCAGAGTTACCCTCGGATCCTGAAAAGGTCGCAGAACCTAGCTCAAGTGACATGGGATCTATAACCTCAGCTGGTTACTCTTTTGACAGGGGTGCACTCAGCAGTTTCAGTTCCTCAGTTGCGAGTGGTCTTAACTACTCGAAAGGCCTTTCATCAACAAGCTCTAGTCGGGGCAGTGAAACGCTGGGGAGGCCACAAGAACCAAATAAAATGCAAAAGAAGAGGGCCAAGCCTGGTGAGAGCTGTAGACCAAGGCCGAGGGACAGACAATTGATCCAAGATCGTATAAAGGAGTTGCGAGAACTTGTGCCAAATGGATCTAAAGTAATTTACTTGTATTATCATTTCATGTTTTATGGCAATCTCTTTGCTTTGCACATAGTCTGAAGTTTCTGGGTGACAAACAGTGCAGTATTGATTCACTTTTGGAGCGAACTATCAAGCACATGGTATTCATGCAGAGCATTACAAAGCATGTAGAAAAGCTCAGTAAATGTCCTGGATCAAAGGTATACTTGATGACATCCTCTACACTTGTCTAACCTGTTGCAGTTGTCAAAAGTAAAATAAATCACCCAAGGATACAATGTCCAGTAAATTACCTTAATTTGCATTTGCAAAATTAGTTATTCTGTTATAACCCTTAAACGTGGAACTTTTCTTCTTGTGGCTGTTGATTTTCTGTTTCCAATATATCATTGTATGCTTGCTTACAATTTGACCACATAGGTAAGAGTGCTAAAAAGGATCAGTGTATTGTTTTTCTTGTAGTTTATGGATCAAGAAGTTGGCTTGCGAGGGTCCCCCTGCCCTGAGCCGGGTTCAAGCTGGGCAGTGGAAGTAGGAAGTGACCTTAAAGTTTGTCCAATCATTGTTGAAAACTTAAATATGAATGGCCAATTGCTTGTGGAGGTATGAACAATGCAATCTGAGAAGTTGGTTGCTAGGAATATAACGTTGCTCTGGATAATGTAATTTCGTTTGTTTTCATATTCACGTTCTTATGTTTGGCTATTTGCAGATGCTCTGTGATGAATGCAGCCATTTCCTTGAAGTAGCAGAGGCTATCCGGGGCATGGGATTGGCAGTTTTGAAAGGAGTAACAGAAACCTATGGTGAGAAAACATGGATGCGTTTTGTGGTAGAGGTACAAAGCTTTTCTTCCATGACTTGGTGCCAAATTTTTCGCACACGAGAGTTCTTCCTTGATAATTGTCATGTCGTTCTGCAGGGGCAGACTAATGGAAACGTGCATCGAATGGACATATTATGGTCACTTGTGCAGCTATTGCAGCCTAAACTGAAGACTTGAGCAGAGCAGAGCAGACCATTTTTAGTATGTGTGTTTATGAGGATGTTTCAATCTTCTTCTTTTTTTTTCTTTTTTTTTTTTTTGGTCTTTTTTTGGGTTTGGTGTGCCTGATTTGTGCTTGAATGGGGAGGTTACAAACTTTGAATTTCACTAGCCGGTCGTGTTTCCAACTTTTCTTAGAAGTGCAATAGAAAGAAGAAAAAGGTTCCAATTTCTCGAAGCTCTTGTTGATTAACATCCCAGAAAAAAAAAAAAAAACCATTCAGAGAGTATAAAACATTCAAGAATATGAACTTTTCATTACTACAATCAACTGGTGCAACAAAACAAAAAGGATGGATCGTTATAACGGGATGTAAAGGCCAAATTTCCATCGCTATCAAAACTTAGAGGCGACAGATTGTAACACGATCTGTACTAATCCGGAAAATGAACAATGGAGATGCATGGGATTAATATCGGCGGAGGTGGATAACTCAGAGTATATTGAGCCTAATACTCACTTAATGAAGATTGCGTGATATGAATTCAGTTGTAGGTTCATCAACCTTATGCGCTCCGGAAAAGGAATTAGCAATAATAGATTCTGAATTCTGAAATATAACATTATTGAAATCATCACTAGCGCAAAAATGTACTCCATCCGTCCCAAAGTTATTGTCCAATTTGAAATTTTACTTTTAGTACAATTTGAACTAGAAATGAAAATGCAAACTGAACAATAATTATGGAACGGAGGAGTACTGCTACTTGGAAATTAGAAATTTTTTTCATCAACAACCAAAAAAAATCCTTCGGCCCAATTTAGGCCCATTTGAAATCAACTTTTAGGCCCAAATGACGTCGCCGCTTGCCCCAAAGGTCGGTCAAAATCTCCACTCTCCTTTTTTTTTCTGGTTCCTTTCTTCTACAATTGAGAGTTGTATTGTTGTTGTACTTGAAATATAGAATCCTCTTTGTAACTTCATCGTTTTGCCGCATTCGAGGAATCAAATTTCACCCGTTTGTCTGTACGCTAATTCCTTTATTTTTCATACCTCGATTGCCTTCATGTCCAAGAATCAATCAGTTAGGCGTTTGTGGAATACGGGTATGGTTACAGCTCTTGTCAGCTTTTGCATTCATTTTTGTCTTCCCCATTCATATTCATCATGACGCTCTCTTTTCGTCGACCTGGACTGAGGGATTTGTTTGTTTGTTTATGTTTTTCTTTTCAAATTACAGGTTTTACTATTGGGTTGTTGAGGAAACAAGATTATCAGAGGTTTTTATTCGGTATTTTAAGTCGGCGCCAGTCTCAATGGCCCTCCCAAAAGCCCGAAAATGGAACTGGGGAGAGGAAACACGGCGGGTTGAATGATTCCAAACAGGGCTCACAACTTCCTCTTAAAACTAATGTAAATAAAGACTATGTTCCAACCAGATATAGCTCGGATGAAGATGATTTCATTGGCAACAGTAGTAGTGATGATAATAGTAATAAATGGAAGCTTGAACTTGATTGGCTTACTAAGCCTCTTGAACCTGCACTTCAACTTTGTAAATGGGCTCTTCCTTCAGGTCAGTTCAGCTAATTGATATTGATTTTTTTTTTTCCCCCTTTTAAAGTTTTTGTTTTTGCATCTTTAGTGATAGGCCTGAAAATTTGTTACTTTCTGAAGGAGACATACTATCTCATGTAATTTATACTTCTGAATGATAAAGTTATTTACTTCTAAATTTGAGGTTGTTTGCGTTGGATGTTTACATTGAATTGTCTTGGTGTTTATTTAGGCACTGGAATTGGGGATAGACCACCTCCTACGACTAGATCCATTTCAGAGATCTTCGCAAGCATCCAAAGGAGTAAGATTGGACTTCAGGATTGGAGTCTTAGTGATCTTACTGTAGGCTTGTATTTAATTTATCTGCAGCAAGCTTCCAAAGGCCTGGTTGAGAATGTCAAGGGCGAGCAGATATTTTCTGAATCAACTGTAATGCTCAAATCTCATATTGTTTACTAACTTTCTTGGTTTTGATAATTTACGCATCGAAATTATGAAGCAATGTTTCTGTTATGATTTTCATATTTGCTTACTTTATTCAAAAATTTTCATTGGTGAAGGATGCTTGTTTCAGGTTCACGATCTCATCTACCACATGGAATTAGCCAAAGGGGCTTACAAGGATAATCCTCGCATATTAGCCAAGATTAGCATGCTTCGTGAAAGCAATGTTGTAAAATTTGTAAATAACTCTAGTGTATTGAGACCTGGGTATTATGTAGGTATTGATGAAAGAAGGAAAAATGTAGTACTTGGAATACGTGGAACACACACGTTGTACGACCTCGTTACTGACATTGTATCTTCGAGTCATGAAGAACTCACGTTTGAAGGCTATTCCACACATTATGGGACAGCTGAAGCAGCTCGATGGTTTCTTCAACATGAAATAGAGACCATAAAGATGTGTCTAAATAGACACCAGGTGCCTCACTTCTACCAGAATTTAGCTTTTGTCTTTTACTCTTGTGCATATAGTTTATTTCAGAGGACTAACTCGTCTACAGGGATTTAGGTTACGGATTGTTGGTCATTCCCTTGGAGGTGCAATAGCTTCTTTGCTGGCAATAATGCTGCGTAAAAGGTCTATGAAAGAGCTTGGATTTGACCCCCAAATTGTTTCAGCCGTTGGGTTTGCCTCTCCACCTTGTGTTTCGAGGGAACTGGCTGAAAGTTGTTCTGACTATGTTTCGACAGTAGTAATGCAGGTGGAATTGATTTTGCTTTCTTTAATATTTTCATGTGAAATACTTGTTTTTCTGGTTGCAAAGTTTTCATTTTTATTCTTTTTCATATTCTTCTTTCGTATCACAGGACGATATCATCCCAAGATTAAGTGTTGGTACATTGACAAGATTGAGAAACGAAATTATTCAAACGGATTGGTGAGAAACTTTACTTATTGACAAGAAGTTCAAACTTCTTAGTCAAGCTGGAAATCCAAATATAAAATCACGATAGGGATGAAATGGGATTGTCCTTATTGGAGTATCATTGAGAACTTATATATTTTGAATATAATAAGAAGGATTATATTCTTCTTTGTGTTTTACAGGGTTACTGTTTTAGAGAAGGAAGACTGGAAAAGAGTAGTTGGCCTTGTAACAAATGCAAAGCAGGTGGTGTCTTCTGTGCAAGATGTGACTCGGAAGCTCGCTGATTATGCTAAGTTAAAAGGCCCAACCACTTTTGATGGTATTTTTTATAGCCTGTCACTCTCGGTTGCATCAAATGTTCGCTCTTTGATAAATGTAAACGTTTTGTTGATAATGATGGCCATGTTTACGCAAAGATGTGCATAGTATAATTACTACTCACATGTCATACTTGCTTAGTCTCATCAGTGGCTGTGCAGTCCCTCTTTGAACTGTCAGTTGAAAATTACTACATCTGCTCAGTCAAATCATTCATGCATCATTTAGGGATAAGTCTCTTACATATATCTGATGTTTACGTCGCATGATGGGTTGTAGCAGATAGTTCAGTTAATATGCTTAAATTCTGATGCTATTTGGCAGTTACATAAAATGCAAAAGGCGAGCTTTTCTCATTTTATTTTTATTCCGGTTAAGCAAAGCTCTCTCATTTAGAGTTCATGTAGTTTCTCTTTTAGGAAGGTCGAAACTTATCACATATGAGGTCAGAAATCATAAAAAGCTGAACTACTGCTGGATGTTGCCTAACATAATATGACAGCTACAGAAGTTGTTTCGAGTTTATCTTGTGATAGTTTAATTTGGTTATGTTTCTTCTTTGTGTTAGGAATAAGTGTCAAGTGTGTCACTCAAGATCTCATAGTACTCTGGATGGTATTTCTAGCTAAGTTGTGAAATTGATTTTTGTGTCACTTTACGACATTGTCTTGTACTGTGTCTTCTAAGCTATTGTTTCTAAGGTCAAGTAAGCTGTGGATAAATCTATCACAAGGTAAACACTTCTTTGTTATAATATTCTTTCATTTCATGTTGTAGTTGAATCAGCTGAAGCTCATTCTAAAGCGGAAATATCCGATTCATCATTGCCTGAAGAATTGGTCGTCCCAGGGTCTCTTTACTACTTGAAGAGGAATGTGGTTTGTCAGAAAGATGGCAAATCTGAGGAATTTTTCACCCTTTGGAAGAGGCATCCAGGTGAACACTTTGAGAGAATACTGCTCTCTAGCAATTTAATTTCGGACCATAAATGTGATTCACATATCTATGCTTTAAGGGATGTACTCAAAGGTTTGCCAGGGTCCCTTGATGATGGTCTTTTCAGATAAACAATTCTGCGAATTTTGTCATTTTTTGAATTCAAATGTAAAAGCTGTGTGAAAGTAGTGTTGCTGAGAACTAAGCTGAGGCAATTTTTTTTGGCATAAATTCACCTCTGTAATGTTGTTACATTAACTGTGCTACCGAGTATGGTCTCCCTCCGTTGCTGTTGCATCTGGTCTCAATAAGCCATTCAACCCTTTTGGCTATAGTTGTTTGACTTGGGGGATTAACATATTTGACAAAATTACTTGAGATTAAATTCTCATTTAAATGACATTTCATAATTTGTACTTTCCGTCCCAAATTTGAAGTCAAGCTTTTATATATTGTATTGAAACAGTGAACTCTACATTTTTTCATTTTTGTTACAATTGCAAGAGTAGGATCAATATATTTAGGACCTTCTAGAATCTATAGTGGGTGAAAAAAAAAAGAAAAGAGAAACAAAGAAAAAGAATAAAAAAGGATGCAGCCAAAAATTTTGAATAAACTAGTTGGGTTTCACTCAAATGCTTCTTGGATTAATGGGCTTGAAAAACTTCATAACCCAACAATGGATTATGGACTACTACTGCCCGCCCCGTAATTGCAATTTAGTCCACTTATCTCTTATTATTGAACCCAAAAGTTAACAATTAATTGTTGACACAAGTGAGCATTACTTTTTATTTTATTTTCTAAATAAAGTGAGTGTTGTTATTATTATTGTTTTTTTTTTGTCCATTGGAAAATTGTGAAGCAGCTAAAGACAGTTTGGGAGTGATGTTAAAGGCAAATGCCAACCAATTGGGAAAGGCGGGTACCCCATTTTGGGGTTCAAGGTCAAACAAAAAACTTCAATGTGCCTCCAAAAAGTATTGGTCTTTGTTATGAACATTTTAATGTTTTAATGCCCCGACCCAAAGTCGTGTTACAGATATACTTCTCTTAATTAATTAGCAACTAGTACTATATGTACGTGAATATTTGTTTCTGGTGGGGCTATATATGTTTCTTTAGTGTCTCTTCTTCATGTATTTTGGCTCCGTCTCGCTTTCTAGAAATAGTGTGTTGATTTTGTGTGTGTCTGTGTGTGTGTTTTTTAATTTTATTTTTTTTTGGGACGAAAAACTTATTAGAAAAACTTACGTGTGTTTTCTGTATTGGACACGAAGACGGTGTCCTTATTTTGTCAGTAATTCAAACTTAATACAAACACTATAATCCTCAGTAACATGGTAAGTTATATGTATCGTTCGGCTCGATTCCGGTGACAAGACGCCGATTGAGGATATGTTTGTAATTGAGGTTTTCGATGTATTGGGCAGAGATTGAAGATGAACTGATGAACATACATAACGTTTTACAGAAATTTCAGTGGAAAAAACAGCAATAATAGAAACTATGGGAACAAATTAATAATTAAGAATAGAAGTGTAATTTTGAAAGAAGATCAAATTTAAACGAGAAAGTACCAACAAAAACAGAAAGATTATAATGTTATACATCAGTCATTAATTTCATTCAGTATTTATTTTTCACTATACATATCATATTTTTAAATAAAAATTTTAGAGTTAGGTTTTGAGCTTTCTCCGCCGGCGAGGGCAAAAATTCAAGAGGTTGCAATGGTGCTTTGTTAGTTGAAAAAAAATTGTTAACTTGTTTTGTATAGCTTGAAAGTTACATTTTCCATTTCAAAATTATTATTTAGCTTGAAATTAGAAATCTAAACTGGACATTAATTTCGAGATGAAACTAATACTTTAATATACTTATTAAGCCAACTTAATGTCGATTGAACTTATAAGTTATAATCACCAAGAGAAACAAGAGGAGTGACGCGGTTCCAAAATAGTAATGCACGGACGCGGCTGAATGTCTTGTCAATAGCTAATATGATTACACGACTAAAGATCTCATTCAGTTAACTCATCATTATTAGTCAATTGACTGTGATTAAAAAGTTCTTGAATTCTAGTCTCATTAGTGCGACAAATTGTTCATCCAAAAAAAAAAATAAAAAATAAAAAATCACTCTCATTAGTCTTTCCAATGACCAAATCATATGATCACTCGCTTCTAAGTTTTTGCTTCCTGATTAAGCCCTTTTTTTTTTTTAAAAAAAAAAACCCTTTCGGTCCCTATTTTGTGGTTTGGACTTTGAATAGATGCCTGCTTGTCAAACTACAAACTTAATTAACTTTGATAGAAGTATGAGTGAACTAATTTTTTTTTTCCAGATGACAACACGGTTAGGGATCGATAGATGGATCTAATTTAATTTAAACAAGGTTTTAACGTTTGATTATGACTCTTGAAAATGAAGGTTTATGTTTTTGTCTCGAAAACACTTAGCACTATGTGACTAAATGGCATTTACCTTACGAAATCACATTTTGTCTACATCAAAGAAACAGACAGATTTTTCAGTCACAATCTGGGAATTCTTCACGAGTATTTTGGATTGGCCAACATATTTTCTCCAACTTGAGAATTTTAATTGCTCCGTGTTTTAGGACTTGAAGTTGTAATTTGAAATAGTACAATAATGATTAGATTAAAAAATGTAATTAGCTAAAGAGGTTGAACCCCTCGATTTGTTTTAGTAGTTGTGTCATTAAAGTAAACTATCCTGATGTACTTGATGTATGGCATAATGACAGCATGATTATGTGTAATCCAGGCGATTAATTTTTAAAAATTTTAATATACAATTTTCAAAACTTATACATGGGTTCTATCCTCTATATAGATTATACATATTCGGCCGGTTGCTCTTTTCTTTCTTTCTTCTTTGTTTCAGGCTGTTCTAGATCGAAAGAACATAATGTAAAAGTGTTAAGTACAGGCTTACGTTATTACCAAAAAGAAAATGTAATTGATCACTTTAATTAGTTGGGGGCATTGATGAAATTAGCATTTGGCAAATCATGGATCACATACACGTGCGGTGACCCCACGTGGCAAACCTCTTTGTCTGTTTGACCGATCCACGTCCTCATCATTCTCCAACACTTGCGAGGTCTTAAGTTAACTTCTAAACCAAACCACCCACGCTTCCATCAAAAGAATACAGCTTCATTCCTTTCTTTTAACTAAATAGTTCGATAAACCAGACTCTTAATATAACGCGAGCCTAATATAACAACAAATGGACCATTTCCCAAGTGAACAGTAATAAATTACAATTCGTATGATCATTGTGAGTTTAATTAGACTTAAACTCGTTAAAATTGTCGCAGTGTGAAACATAATTAATATGAATCGGTTTAGAGGAATAAAAACAACACATGAAAAGAGATAGTAGCAGACAAGGCATGTTTAGAAAAGGAAATTTAGACTCAACTTGAGCCTTTAACACAAGATAATGATGATTGATAAGCCACTTGAATATATAACTAAAACTCAATTGGCTAGAAACAAATTAAGACTCAATAATCATCATATTAATAATTACTCATATAAAATTACTACTTTAAAACATCAATATATGAAAGATTGACCGTCTTTGAAAGGCATAAAAAGGTGAGCAATACAACCTAACACCAAAGTCATAAGAATCCATTACAATAGTATCGTTAGTTAGGTGTTCCCTTTATTGAGAAGGAAAAATAAAGAAAAGGAATGCAAAAGTCTTTTTCTTAAAAAAGAAGGGTTGAATTGAATAGTAACAAAAACATAAGTCTCGAACCAATAAATAGGTTAATTTAGGAGAAAAAGGTAGTACGCAGGCCCAGCCCAGGAGAACGGTGAAACAGAGAGACCCATATCTTGTCATGATGTGGGAGTAAAATGCAGAAAATAGACGAAAAAGTGACGTAGATGGATCCGTTTCAAAGTTGGGTCCACAAGACCAAGCCACCGGAGCAAGAGGATATAGTAGTAATTTGGGCAAATGTGGGTAATGTGGGCCTCAGGCCCTTATTATAAATGGACTCGTGCGGCGGGTCATATCAAATCCTCCCTTGTCCCTTTGAATATTCTTTTTTTTTATAATTTTTTTTGAAAAATAATTTGGGGTGTTTGTCGTTTTGTTTCGGTTTGAAGTTTGAACAAGGAAAATGAATACGTCCATGTCTATTCGTGGACACAAGAGCACAACTGGATGTAGGACCCGTTCCAGGGGCAATCCCAAGACCAAGAGCCTTTCATTCAACCCTGTCTCTACGTTATATTCTACCTTTTGTCCTTTCCCTTTTCTTTCGTCTTCTTTTTCCATTTTCTTTTTCAACAGTTAGAAGTTTATCATAATATTGCAAATAAGAAAAAAGAGTAAAAGAAGCTATAAACCCCATAGGATAGTGAATTCATTCACTAAATCGATTGAAGTAATACATATCATATTAACATATTTCCCAAAATATAATGTCTCTATCTTTTCATATGCATCATCATTAAATAGTTTTGCAAGACGTGTAAATGATAAAATAACATTGTATCAATCATTATTCAGAAAATAAAACTATACAACTTTTGAAGGTGCCATATTCAAGATGAATAAGTACTTTAGTCACTTACATTTGGTATAGAGTTAATTAGTTTGATCATCTGTTAAAATGGATTATTTGAACGCAAGTATTTCTCATGATTATAATTAACACCAAAATTATTACTCCTATTGACTATCAAAATGAAGGGGAAAATTAACCATTCATCCATCTCAAATTGGTATAAGAACCTCATTTTTTTGGGGTAAATATGAGATCCTCAGTTATTCGAATGAGTTATTCATAGGAAGAGGATAACTAAATTAGTACAATGATTAATCATTTATTAAGAAATGGATGGAAAAGCATCAAATATAGAACACTAAATTGTCCTTTAAGTTTCCTCACTTTGATGGACACGCAGTATCCCAATGATATCTGTCAGACATTTATTATATACTACGGAGTTCATCATCAGTACTTTAATAACGTGGTTAGTGAAAACCCTCCAAATATTATTCCTCATATCAATGTATTTAGTTCACTAAATAATTGGCTTCTCTCAACGGAAAGTTGCAAAATGCATAATTAGCAACTGCTAAAAAAAAATGTGGTCAAAACCCACCTACTCCATCTCCTCGTTGTTCATCAGAATCGAATATATCGTACGTGTGCAATGATTAAATTAAGGGTTTCACTTCATCACATCAAAGTGTATATAACTTAACTATATATAATTTGTTTACGCAGCCAAGAAAATTATAAGTCACGAGTATTGACAAATGTGATGTCTCCACAGTTTCCAAAAGCTGGAACCAAAATAAAGTTATTTTCTTTTAAGCATGCTCGAAAAATAAACACACGGATCTTAATAATTTGAATGAAGGAACTTTGAATGACAAATTGACAACCCGCCACTTCGTATTGTA